TGCAGCAGAGTCACCAGGAATGATTTTCCCATTATCTGTTATTAATTAGAAGTTATCAGTGTCTACAAGAGATGTTCAACATGACTTCTGACTCGCACTCACTAGTCAGGTCACCTTTATTTACAGTCAAGTATGACATTTTTCAGCAAATTCTAGAGCACAGTTTCTATTTATTTGAGTTTCACTTCTTGAAAAAAAAAAATATATATATATATTGTGTATTTTTTTTAAATCTTTCATTTTCACTTTTTAACATCAACAAAGCATTATTTGGCTGGGGTGGCCAATTTTTTTTGCATAAGACAAAATGTAAACATTATTACAGTTTCACAATGTCCCATTCACTCCACAGCCCATATATGGAAACTAAGCTTTTTTTGCGATGTCACAAAAGCTGTGCATTTACATATATCCGCCTATTCAAGCCTACAGTTAAGCCCTGTACATTCACGCTGAAGTTATAAGGAGTTTTGCAGTTGCAGCTCTTTAAATGAGGCACTATACAGCATAGCCAATCAGAACAAAGCTCATTTACATATGTCAGTCTTAAAGGGACAGTAACAAAAACAGCATGTTTAATTGAAAGGGATAAAGAGCTTGTTGTGTAAAAATGAATTATGACTTAAATGAATTTGTTTAAAATTTCAATAATCATAAGGAAAAAAATAAAATACATGCTACTGGCCCTTTAATCTCTTACCCCTGTAATCATGCAATTTCCCTTTTTTTGGAGGTTCCCAGCTGAACTATACAATTTTTCTTCAGTAATGTTGATAGAATATATTTATATGATGCAAACATGTATGATTTACACAACTGATGTAGACTGAACTAGATTTTCCTCTTCATAGATGAACAAGCAAGTCAACATTTATAAAAGTTTATTGTGTTTATGTTTTTTTGTGGCAGTCATACATGATTTTTTTTTTGACATAAAGAAAGCTGCAGTTTTATTTTATCACAACAGCTGTCTTGGAAAGTTTTCACAATAGGGGGTTCTCTCCCCTCCCCTTTCAACTTCAGTGTTCACTAGCAGCTCAGCGTAGAGTCACAACATTTCATACACAGAGTGTCAAGCGTCCTAGTTAATCCAATAACAGAGTTACATGGAAAACATATTTTATTTACTTATACTGATTGAAAATTTCAGAGCTAATTTCCATTCCACTGGCAGAATGGAAACTAAATTTCTTAATAGGATTTTAAATTGTCTATTGTATAAAAAATGTAAGCTGTTCCATAAGATTGTGTTTGCAAAAGAAGACACTGGTTTTCTTCACATTTACACAGATTTCCATTCCAAAGCCTGTTTGGGGCCCAAAGCTGCGTGTCCCTCTCACTCACTATGACAACGTCAAAATCGAATTCAGTCTCCTCTAATATATCACTCACACTGACACTTGGTATATCTTAGAGGACGACTCTGGACTCGTGAAAGCATTTTGCCAACACTTATTGCCAGCATACTGACAAATCCAAGGTCATCCTGCCCCCAGAGAAATGACATGCAGCATGCAATGCCTCATCTTTCTCATTATATGTAGTATTGAATATAGAAAAGAGTATATATTCATGCTTATTCATTCAGGATTTATAGAATAAATGGCAGTGTATCTCTGTACTTTCATAATCAGCCTGTTCTTAAAGTCATAAAAAATAAAAGTACCATGCCATCATTTAACTACCTGTGGTTTCCTAAATACCCTTCAAAACTGATGGTCCCTTAAAGGAATACTCCAGTCTAATCTGTATCTACTGACTCGTTGCATTGAAGCAACTGTCCACAGGCTTCTATTGTAAGTGTCAAAGAGACTGATGTATGTAAACGACCTCTGTTCTGTTTGGCCACTTTTTATTGTGCATCATTCAAAAAGCAGCCTGGGTGGAAACACTTCTTATAACTTCAGCAGGAATAGGCGGGGCTAAACGTCCTTAGGCTGAAAAGGCAGACAAAAAAACAGTGAAAACTTGGTTTTCCATGACATAGGCCCCCAAAAATCACCCTCAGGTCCTTCTAGGCCTTCAGAGAAGTCCTAATGATTTCTGTTGCCTTTAAATGCAAATTTAAGAAGATATGCAAAAACAAGAAAATGATTTGGGGGCCCAGAGGGCTTTTGCATTTTAGTTGTAAAATATGGTGTAATAAAATACATATGCAATAAAATAAAAATAAAGGCCCCAAAAAGGGTGTTTGGAGCAAAGCCATAGAAGAAGCACTTATAGTGGCATATATAGTGTACATCTAAAAGCAATCTTGAAGTATGATGCATCATAAAGCCCCCCTGAAGAGAAGCAGCACTGCTGCTGGCTCGCCAAACTTTACTACCCACTTACAGTCTCTCACAGTTCCTTGCTATGGAAGATTTGACTGAAAAGTGTGAAAAAAAAGATAAAAAAACAGCTCTGTACAAATGATACAGATGTAGGTAAAAATAACTGCCATGCTGGTTATGCTGGGATATTGAGCTTGTGGAAGAAATTTGATGACCTCTAAGAATTACAGAGTTCCACAAAGTGCTTCTGAGCTTTTGAGTCCATTCAGCTTGTCAGCTGGGGCAATATGCTCTGATCGCAATATAATCATAAGATTGCTTATGGTTTTGTGGTAGGCTGTTTGATGTGATTTCCTGATATTATGCAGTCTTTGCAGTTATGCAATCTTTTTAGCAGTGCCTAGTAAAAGGGACAATAAAGCAAGAAAATTATGTGGGCATGCCCAATTACTGAATTCAGATAGGTGCAGCTATTGCTAAGAGGTGCATAAAATCAAGCATTCAGTTTCCGTAGACAAACACAGGCAGCAGAATGTGTTGTACTTATGAGCTCAGTGACTTTCAACGTGGTGCTGTCATAGGATACTTCCGTGCTCTGCTAGAGCTGCCCCAGTGAACTGGAAGTGCTGTTATTTTGAAGTGGAAACGTTTAGGAGCAACAACAGCTCAGCCGTAAAGCAGTAGGCCACACAAGCTTACAGAATGCGTAAGTTGTGTGTACTGAGGTGCCTCTACAGAGTTTTCAGATTGATTCTGGAATGTTCTTGTGAATTGAAGTGATCCCCATAGCCATGTTCTCAAATCTAGTGGAAAGCCTTCCCAAAAGACTGAAGGCCCTTCAAAAAATATCATAACATATATGTCAAAAAAAGTATTTTTAGATGTTTTATTCAATTGTTAAGTACAACGAGAAGTTATTGAATAGTGTATACTGTAATAATTTATTACAATACATTATTGGTCTCCATATATATAAAACCAATATAGAAGGAGATGGGGAAAAAGTTTCAAGTGGAAATAAATTCCAGAAATTCCATCAGCCAGGTGACATTTCAGAATTAGTTACACCATAGCCATTGAGTTAAAGTGTGGAGACTAGATTATTTGGCCCCATTATTTGATAAGGACAAAAAAGTGGGTGGTCTTACATAGGATGGAGTTTTTCCCCATGTTACCCACACAACATACACATATAACAGAGATAAATAGACAGAACAGCGTATTAAATATTAAATACATATTATAGATACATTTTATGCAATCTACATTCTAATGCAGAAACTGTCACTGAATGATATGTCCCTGTTGTTGTAAAGCTATGAAAAATAATGGCACTTTCCAGAGAGATAGAGTTCATTTTATGCCTTGAAAATCTTTAAAATGTTTCTTTTTTGGCATTTTGTGACAAAGTATTAACCAAAGTAAATGCTTAACCTTGAATAATGTTATTTCCCCACCTCAGGCAGTCAAAACAGATATTATATGAGCTATATTTTTTGCAGCCCATTTATTCATTTTTAGGGAGATGTGTAAATGGCTTATAAAAGCCATCAGTGTTAACTGAGTTCATTATTATCTAGCAAGAAATACATATATTTATGAAAAACATTTCGAATAAATAATAAATATATAAATACGTTTTTTTTTTCCTCTAAGCAAAAAATAGTTCAAGTTCTCTTGTATTAGTAATTGTAACTAATGACACTCACTACCAGATTGAAACTTCTGATAACATAACCTACTAAATTAAAAGTTTTATTTTCACCAAAAGACTATTTTCACCAAAAATGACCGAATAACAGGAACAATCCAGGATAACAGGGTTGAACACAGATCACATTCCCCATTCAGTTGATTTTGCTGCAGTAAAAAACGTTTTAAATATGTAACATAGAGCAGAGACGAAAGTTGAAAATTGCTTTAATCAAAATATTTTCATCATTTCATTTTCATTAAAAAATAAATGAAGGTTAAAAAATGGGTCACAGTGTTGCCAGTAACAGGTTTGCAAACAGCCCAAACTAAGCAGCATTCAGGAGTGGTTAGCTTGTAATGGTGCACATGTTGTTTGCTAACTGCTAATAACCACACAGTTTACATAAATTAATAATATATAAATATATTTTCTTTTTGAAGTGATCAATTTTCACCCATGTAGCCAAACCAATGTTTTGTGTGTAAATTAAAAAAATTAGAATAAGAATACTTACTCGTCTCTGTCAATCTGCAGAAAAGGACAAGACCATGCAACTTCCTGTATAAATCCTAATAAATGGAATGTTCCATTTTTTTACGGGGGGGGGGTGTTGGGTAACAGGTTAAAATGATTTTTTGTTAAATAAAATATAGAAATAGGACAAATCATTATTTTATCATTAAATTGCTTGGAAATTAACCAAATAATATTGTAATGATGGTTACTGGAGGATTTTAATGAATATATCTCATAGAGAAGTTCACCGTCAGTGAGGTGGGGCAGCCCAAAATCACCATTTTAAAGGTGGACTTTTTATGTGTTTTGTGATGACACAATTTTAGTCTCTTTATTCCTTTTAAAAAAGCTAATGGGACATAGCCTACAATGAACTCTGTTCATAGAAAGTGCGCAAAACTTGGAGAAACCGCTACAGAACAAACACTGAGCTCTAATGATGGACGGCTGGGTGAAGTGAGGGTCGAGGTCTGTGGTTCTGAGGGGCCTTTTCAGGAGGGAGGTTTGATGGGAGTGTCGCTGGCAGTCAGGGAGGGAGGAGTCTGAGTTTGAGACCGCGCCAGTTCAGCTGTCGAGCTGTGCTTACACAGAGGGCGCGCTGTGAGAAGGAGAAACAGGAGAAACTTCTGACAATGTAAGTTGAGCCTTCACACAAAGCACTGTTGTAACTTTTTACTTGATTTTAGCTTTTCCTCAGCGTTAGCGATTAGCTTAACGAGTGTTCTGCACAGCACGCTGGGAAAAACCTAGAACTCATGTGGTCTTTTAAACGCTCATGGCTGCCGAGCCTGTCTGTCTGTCTGTCTCTGAGATTTCAGCCCTGTAGTTTCTCAGGTTAAGTGTTTAGAAACGAACGTCTGGCTTCGCTGGGAAATGTAGCTAATATAGCTAATGTACAGGTCTCTTCACATTATTCACACTGGAAGTGCTGAAACTGTCTGTTCAGTTCATTCTTTCAGTTCAGTCAGTTCAGTCAGTCGGTTTATGAGGTGTGGAGCGATATTCAGCGGCTGCATTGCAATCACGATACTCGCTGATGTTTTCATGCTAGACGATAGAATGCCTGCGTTTTCCATGTTTTCCAGGATTTCCGGGAATCTAGGCCTGTCATAATCACGAAATCTTTATCTGCTGATTAACTGCCATATAACTACCTAATTGCAGTTAACAATTTAATATATTTTTTTTTTGTTTATTGTATACAGTTATTGAAGTGGTCAAAATAGCTGATTAGCTAACTGCTTCTGAGCTGTCAATATTAGCCCCCAAATGACGACAGACACAGCTCAGACCTGAAGTTTTGGTGCTAACCTAAATATGGGCTGAGAACTTTATGAACCCGACCTGGCCTGACCCACAGCACCAGGTTTGAAGTCCGAAACTGACCTAAGAGTAACAAAACTCTGTCCGAAATTGACGAATGATGCGACAATAATGGTCCATATATATTGTATATATTGTTATATGTATACATAACGATCAGGCATAACATTATGACCACCTCCTTGTTTCTGCGCTCATTGTCCATTTTATCAGCTCCACTAACTATATAGGTGCACTTTGTAGTTCTACAATTACAGACTGTAGTCCATCTGTTTTTCTGCAAACTTTGTTAGCCCCCTTTTACCCTGTTCTTCAATGGTCAGGACCCCCATGGACCCTCACAGTGCAGGTACTGTTTGGGTGGTGGATCATTCTCAGCACTGCAGTAACACTGACGTGGTGGTGGTGTGTTAGTGTGTGTTGTGCTGGTCTGAGTGGATCAGACACAGCAAGGCTGCTGGAGTTTTTAAACACTCACTGTCCACTCTATTAGACACTCCTACCTTGTCAGTCCATCTTGTAGATGTAAAGTCAGAGACGATAGCTCATCTGCTGCTGCACAGTTTGTGTTGCTCATCGTCTAGTCCTTTATCAGTGGTCACAGGGCGCTGCCCACAGGACGCTGTTGTCTGGATATTTTTGGTTGGTGGACTGTTCTCAGTCCAGCAGTGACACTGAGGTGTTTAAAAACTCCAGCAGCGTTGCTGTGTCTGATCCACTCAGACCAGCGCAACACACACTAACACACCACCACCACATCAGTGTCACTTTATTAGGTACACCTGCCGTATGTCTGCATTCTTTGTCCATTTTATCAGCTCCACTTACTATATAGGTGCACTTTTCAGCCCTCCAATTACAGGGTATAGACCGTCTGTTTCTCTGTGTATTTTGTTAGCCCCCTTTCACCCTGTTCTTCAGTGGTCAGGACCCGCACAGGGCAGGTTCATTTAAAGGGTATTATTTGAGTGCCCAGGTACAGTTGGATCAGACCCAGCAGTGCTGCTGGAGTTTTTTTAAACCACCTCAGTGTCATTGCTGGACTACGAATAGTCCACCAACCAAAAATATCTGGCCAACAGCATCCTGTGACCACTGATGAAGGACTAGAGGCTGACCAACACAAGCTGTGCCGCAGCAGATGAGCTATCGTCTCTGACTTTCCATCTACAAGGTGGACCAACAGGGTAGGAGTGTGTGATAGAGTTCTCTGTGGGCCCTAAGCTGTCACAGCACCACTCATTAGTTAGAGTGTTTGCTTTTTTCATAAGACCCATAATGCGTCTTATTAAACGTGTTTTCTGAATTCTTTTAATTATGTGTTTTTACCTCAAAGCAACTGATAAAAACACTCCTAATTGACATTCTGTTTGTTGCAATGTGAATACATCATTACGAAATCTGACAGCTGTGCGTTGTTGCCTGTGATAACATATCCAGACATCTTACCTTGTAAATAAGGTCAGCGATATTCTGTCTTTGCCATCAACTACACTATCACGTCAGCGTTTATTGTAGCTATCCAAGGAGTATTTCTTCTCTGGCTCAGCTTTCTTTCCCCTCAAGGTGTCCAACAGCTGGGGTGCTACAAAAGCTTACGCTGTTATGCTTTTCGTTGCTTTTGTCACACCACGCGACACAGCTATAATTTATATGTCAGGACATTTTATTAACTAAGGATGCACAAACTGTGACTCTATGAATGTCACAGACGCTGTCATTGCCACAGTATGTCAACAATATGGCAGCAGTGGCAAGTGTGACATTAGTTGAACACTACCTATAAGACAGTGTTACAGGAATATTATATAAAGGTGACAGTATTGTAGAAATATTAAACAGTACTACAGAAATCTTATAGTTTCCTGTTGTACTGCGATCGTTCTTATTTATAAGTATGGTCAAAACATGCATTAAAAGAAGAAAATTAGTTGTTTCGTTGGTGAAAATCAAGCACAATAGGTCGAAAATAGATTTTTTTGCCCATATAAATGCAGGCTGCTCACGCAGTACAGGTCAAGTGTATAACCTTCATATTCCCAGCAGTCTGTTGAGTGAGTTTGTGTCTTTAACTAATCCTCGACCTCAGCTGCTGCTGAGTGCACATTTTCCTCTGCGTATCAGAAACACCACACTTTATAAACAAATTATTGATTCTAATCAGAGATCTTGTTCACACACTAGTAAATGCTGCACTCAGCTTATGGTTTCACTGCATTGCTGAAAGTTTGCCCATAGGCATCATATCTCTGCCAGCGAAATTAACGTGAAGAATTAATTAGAAAAGTTTTGAGAATTAATTAGAAAAGCTCTGAGTGGATTCATTCATTTTATTTCGGTAGAGGGAACTTGTGCCTGGAAGTAGAGCCCAATTTATTTTTCTTAGTTCGGCTCTGACTCAAGTCCTAAGTAAGAGCCGAGCTCAGGAAATGCATGTCCAATCCATTTCCACACATTAATAGTCATATATTCAGCTAGATCTGGGTAATGGGAATGAGAATGCTGAATACGGAGGTGTAGGATTGGCTCAGAGGTTTTAGCTTTCCAGATCTTCATAACAAAGTTTTAATTTCACATCTCTGACTTCATAATTCAAGTTTATGTCGTGTTTAAAAATTTATGTTGTTGGGGGCACAAGCTTCCAGTTATTCTCACAAACATGACAGATACTGGAACCCACCTTTTGAATGTAGCTTATGAAATAAGAAAGTTATGAAGAGCATGACAAAGTGCAAAAAAAAGCATTTTGGAACCACCAGTGGTCTCAAGGAGTTGAAAAGGTTAAGATAAAAATGTAAATAATATATATATTTTTTTCCATTTTTTAATAATCTGTTTGCTATTGTTGGACTATACATTTTGAAATGAATTATTAACACATACAAATTTTACAAAATATAGTGTTTTGCAGTTTTATCTCATCACTGCAACACATTAATATTAGCCAATTTTTTTCTCTTACCTCATAACACTGTTGTTTTGGTTCACATCCTTAGATTTTAATTCATTAAATTAATTTTTCTTAACTAAAAAAAAGACGTGAACACATTGCGTTGATGAGAATTAGGGTAAAATATTGCCACAAAACTTTAAAATAGAAAAATCAGTCATTTAACTTGCTGTGCCATCCAGAGCTCCAAATGATCAAGTAAATTAAGTAAATTATTATTAAATTTTTTTTTTATCTGTGTGATGATTGACGCTCAAATATTTTGTACGTGGTTTGAGGCAGTTATTAGATAGTATTTATTAAGACAAGCAACCTACACATCCTACAAATTAAAATGTAAACTTTGTCTACTGTTTATGAAAAATCAGCCGAATGTGGCACAAAGGTACAGATGTCACAACTTACCCCGTTTAATATTTGCTAAAAAAAATCTGGTACGTTGATACAAACACAGTTAATTCAGTACAGTGTTGTTTGAACCGGGCAATTTTTCTAACCTAAGTACAAAATAACATATGTATCAGAATAAATTTGATTAGTGAAAAGGTCAAACACCCTATAAATTTCATAAATCACAAAGTAGAACAACAAACGTCAGCATATAACGTTTAAATATATTTTGTTAATATGACTATCTGTACTATGCTTTCAAATATGTGAATAAAAGCTCAAAAAAATGACTGTTTTGAATGTCACTGTGGTAAAATGGAGTTCACTAATTGTTTGCTTAGGGAAGCTTAGTTGTAAAACTGTGTTAAAACTAACTCCACCATGTGGAGGCTGTACTTTAGCCTGACTAGCTCTCACTGTGAGTTTTTATACACATCAGAATGTGCTGTTTTACAGCCACCAAGAGTGTGATTTAAACAATATATAGTTCAAATTTTGGTGCTCCTGGTGAAATTCCATGTTTTGTTGATTTTTTTTTTTTAGGTGAAGATAAAACACCCTCTACAGAAAACACACTTCAACAAAACATGTAGTTTGACAAGGGATGTTCAAATTTTTTTTTCTATGACTATAACTGCATAGATTCCACAGAGAGGATTACACTGTTTACTGAAGAAAAATGTGTCTTACAAGCAGGTAAATACTTTCCAAATACCCTAATATTTTCCAGAGTTCCATGGGAAAAGCTGAGCAAAACAAAGGTTGGAGGGCTGTGTGCTGTGGTGATGCGTTCTTACCACAGACAAACGCTCAAATGATGAAATGCCATTACATTCAAAATATTAATTAAGCATTTTAGCAAGCCCAAATCTAATCAATGTACAAGGACACAGGATACAATAACACTGTTATTGCAGTGTATAATACAGAAAACATATAAAACAGTCTTTCTTTCATATATATGTGAACCACTGTGTGTATACGGTTGTATGCAAAAGTTTGGGCACCCCTGATCAAATTACATATTTTGTTGATTTTCTAAGTGAAATAGGTTAAGAGATCTTCTACAGAGATCAGACTTCTGCACGTTTTAATGCACACTTGCTGATTATTTGCTGAATTTAACACTAAAAAAATAAAACCTAAAACATGACCTGTGTAAGAGTCATAGCGCATTTTATATTTCATGTTTTATTTTTTCCCATATTTTAAACTGAGAAACTGTGTAATAAATTGTGCAGAAACGGTCATATTTTAGTGTTTTATCTGTAGAGCAGGTGTTAACTCATTTACACTTAGAAAATTGTATTTCTTTCTAGACGATACTCAGGTTAATCATACTGTTTCTCACCAAGTAATGACCTGTGGTTTCAAAAACCAAAACTGTGAAAAAGTAAAGGCCGAAAATTTAGTGTACTGTGAATAAATATAGTTTAGGCTGTATCACATAAATATTAGATAGATTTTTTTTTTTCCAGGCCTGCTGTTTGCTTCTTTTCTATATCTTGCTCTGTCTTGCTCTCTATCTTGCCCAACCATGCACAGATAAAACATTCTCTTTGCCTTTCAGTGCAGAATTCAAGATCTTTGACTCTGTATTTCATCCATTAACCATTGTAATCCAGGCTGTTTGGGTTTCTGATTGTATGGGTTTGGCTGAATAGGTATTTATGTGAAACTCATTCCACATGGCAACTTTGAATAAGTGATTAAGTGAATTGTGCAAGTTTGCTCCCCCATTTCTCCCCATAGGTAATACCAGCTGAACCAGTCCTTCCTGTGTTGCTCTGTTACATTTCAACTCTGTGCAAGCAGTTGAATGGTATGCTGGTTAGACAAGTGAACATAACAGGTCTTCGAGTCAGCCAGGGTTACTGTCATGCCTTAACAATGAAGATTTTGTCCATCTGCAAAGTTTATTAAAGGAAATGTAATCCAATTCATTTTAAACAGTAGCTGCTCCAGTGTGATGTTTTTATTGCCCACTGCCTGTTCAGAGAGCCCAAATAGGTATTGGAAGGATGCCCACTGTCCCTCTTTGCCATTAAATGGTTTGATTTTTTTTATTGCATCTAATCTCAGCATCATAATTAAACTTCTAATAAGATGGTAAACTGTTTCTCAGTTGCAACACAAACATTCTGGTATATTGCTTAAAACCACAGATCCTCTGTTCTTGCCTTTATTGCAATAGTTCAGCAAATTAGCGATTAAACAGAATTTTCCACCAACATAGCCGGTCAGCCAAGACATGATTGGTGTCCAAAGTTTGCTTCTTTAGTTTTGCCCAGGAACTATGGGGCTAATGTAGCTAACAAATAATAGAGGAGCTAGCATTGTGCAAACTATACATGAGTAAATAATCAGGTAACACTCTATGTGGATAGTCCACTTTAGATGCTTTGTAGATACTTCATTTACTTTTAAATTACATTTAACTAAATAGCTGCTAAATTCACTATAATTTTCTTTAACTTTTGACTCTAATCCTAACCCTAGCCTTAATCTCAACCCAAAACCTAAACCCAACCTTCACCCTGCTCTTAGCCCTAATACTGGTCCAAATTCTAACCCTAACCCCACCACTGTTTAGAATCAACTAAAGAGTTTCAACAGATAGTTTAACGATTTGAAGATCTGTAGATAATCTGTAGGGGACTATAGTGGACTATCCAAATAAAGTGAGACCAATAATCTTATTTTTGCCTCAAACTTTGTGGAATTGTTAAATGTTCTTATTTGCTTATGTGGATTCTGACACTGTGTGACTCTGCTATCTGTAAAACTTGCAAAGGTATGTTGCACAGCTAAAAACAGTTGTAGCTGCCCTTCATTTTGTCTGTTGTTTTGTCCGTTGTTATTAACAGTATGCCACATAGTGTCAGTAACCACATAAGCAAGTATGTTTGAGATTATTTAGAGGGCAATTCCATTAATTGTTCAAAAATTCAGGATAAGTCAATCATTGTGATGCAAGTCATTCAAAATGGTTAATGTGACATGGTGAATTGTAGAGAAACTTACTGAGTCAATTCCTTTACAGTGGTGGTGATAGGAATCAGGGGTCACAATAGGTACAGCTTAAATGTAGCCATTTTATTTACCATCCAAGATGAGTGAACCTATGAATGAATGAATGAATGAATGAATAAATAAATAAGTAAGTAAGTAAGTAAGTACGTAAGTAAGTATGTATGTTTTAGGCAATAACCTGATTTCAAACCTATCGTAAAAAAATGTCTCAAACAGCAGGCAGTCTATTTCTAATAATTTCATATAACTTTATGTGAGGGAGCTTTTAGAGGTATTAAACTCTACAGAAGTATCACCACCACCGTAAACAAACTGACTCGTTTTTCTAGAACGACGCATTTCACATCAAACCACTCTGAATGACTTGATCATAACCATTTATGTGGAAATGTAGCAAAATTGGTAGAATTCCCCCTGAACAACTCAGCACAAGACAAATGTGTGCCGATTTAGGAATGCAGTTTGTACAAAACTAATTGGCAGAAAATTCCCTTAGGCTGGTTATGCGCTACACGATTTTTAAATCTGTTAACCCCAATTTTTACACTTGAAAAGTGAATTTCCAGGTCGGGGGCTTGATTGGAAGCAGTTGACGGCACAGAAACGAGTTAATCGTTGGGCTTCCGTTCTAGCTCCAGAGCGATCAGGAGGCTCAGCTGTCTCAGTTGTTAACGATGGAAAAGTCCCGTGTGAGATGGACAGTGATGTAATCATTAGACAACAGCCAATGAGACAGCAAAGGTGTGTACGCATACTGCATGTGCAGGGGACCACAGAGCTTTGGCAGGTGTTTTTAAAACGTTTATAATGTATGGAGCAGAATTGAAAGGCACCCACCTTACGATTTTACATCATTCTGCAAGGTCTTAGCAAAATCAGTTGTCACTGTAGAATAGAAAGAATCCGTATTTCTCAGCCACGTTCATTTCCAGTTTGCGTTTTGGCTACGGGGGCATAAAAAGTACAGACCAGTTCGGTCCACTTTCTACGTTGCTTGTCTGAAATGTGTTGTGCATGTGATACCCTCTCTTTGCCTTGTCACCTTACAGTCTGTGCTTCTTCACTGCTGTTCTTTTCTATATATCTGTCTTTTCTCTGTCTGTGGTCCTTTACTCTATATTTGGCTTTTAAATCTGTTCTGTGTATATTAAGCCTTTAAAAATGAATGAGCCGTTACAGTTCTACTTGTCTCACCCATTCTGTCCTAGAAGCAGTGTAGATTCATTGAGGACTGCATTTCAGTCTTTTGTTCTTTAATTTTTTTTTTTTTTTATCACTTGCATCCCAAAGGAATCAGAGGTCTTTGCAAAATTAAGGGGCATCATAAGAGGAGAAATGAATCATCTAACAACATAGATCACCATAACAGCAGACTACAGAACAATAAACAGTGGCTGAAGCAGTTGTTTAAGGAGCTGTAGTTAAGCCCGCTGTTTACAGAAACGTTACCTTAGAGAAACTCATGTTTGTTTGTTCTGGCTCGATGAAAAATGACCAACCTTTCATAAAGTTAATCAGAAGCTTATTTTGAACCTCTTAATAAACCATTGGATGGACCTTGTGCGTTGACCTGGTAAAAAAAAAAACTGTTGAAGTCGTTTGATATGATCACGTGATGAGTTATTGGCAAGTTTCGCGCAACTTATTCCACTAAGTTGAGATGCTTGCAACTGTTGCAGCTGAGTTTCAAGTCAGTTGCAGGATGCTTTACATTTCACATAGGTTTCAAGCAACTGAAGTTGTATGTAAGTTTCACTGTGTACAGCCAGCCAAAAGAAGCAAACTCCAGACACCAAACATGTCTTGGCTGATCCACTACATTTGGAGTAAGAGCAAAATTGTGCAAAGTTGTTTAACAAACCATTAATATTGTTGCTGTTTCTCTGTTGCAGGGAGGACATGTTGTTATGGGTATTAGCTGTTTTGCTGGTGCTCTTCTGCAGCGTGGATGTTTGGTACTATCTGCGAATTGTTGCTTTGCTTATCCGGGCCTGGTGGCTCTCTCCTGTGTTTGATGTGACGGGAGAGCAGACTTTGGGGGGCCGCGTCCTCCTCCATGACATTGACCTGTGCCACATGAACAACGCCCGCTACCTGCGCGAGTGTGACTTTGCCCGCATCTCCCTGTATGCCCGCAATGGGGTATTCAAGACGATGAGGACTCTGGGGGCCACTATGGTAGTCGCAGCGACCACGATACGCTACAGACGGCCACTGTGCATTGGTGAAGCGTTCGAGTTACGGAGCCGGATCGTCACGTGGGACGAGAAGGCGTTCTATGTGGAGCAGCGCTTCGTGTCCTGTAAAGACGGCATGGTAGCAGCCATTATGTTCTGCAAACAGAGCGTACTGCGGAGCAGCCCTGACAAAATCCTACAGCACCTCTGCCAGAGAAAAGTGAGTGATTTAAAGGGTTTAAATTCTTAGTCTCACAACAATCATGTCATTTTCCTGTTTTCCTTCATCAGTGTTCTTAGACTACCCAGCATGCATTACGCAAATACATGATATAACCTTTAGGAATCCCTGTGGTGTCAACCAGTCATGGCTGCTAGCATAGCTACTGATCTATAGGCTAATAAATGCAATCCAGCTAGCATTAGTGTATCTCTTACCTCAGTTATCAAGCAAAATTGTAAAGAAAACAGTGATTCTTATCTTTATTCAGCACAAAATGGACACCAGAGACAAGTTTCTCTCTGTTTAGCCAGAGAAAAGAAGCCAAACTGAGGTAAGATATCTGGATAGCCAGCTGCCTTGCAAAGTTTAGCTTTTAGCTTGTTGTCCTCCTCTTCTGATGTCATTTTTGATGCCATTTCTGGCATTTGAGTAAAGTTTTCTCCACTGTAATGATGATTTTAAGACAGTTACTACATTCATATGGCTGCAATACAATATTCAGCTTCTTAGCAGTAACATTAACTATCTGCCTTCATTCGACATTCACCATCTAGAAAAAACAGAAAAAAATGAAAACAATCCACCCAGAGCAGTTGTAGTTTTTAACAAGTTCTTCCCACCTTCAAGGTACATCATCAGAAAGGGTTTTCCTAGTCTTTAAACCCAGATATCTCAATCTATATTACTATGGAATCTCTGTTGGATGCAAGTAAGCATGTTAACAACAGATGCAGCAATGGTTACATTTTTCATTTCAGAGTTTCAGAGTTCCCCCTTTAAATGAACAGTGACAAATGTAAGATTTCCTTATACTCCTAAAAACAAGGAAGCCCTTAAAAAGACTATTAAAAAATATAAAAATGTCATGTGGAAATAAATATATTTAAATAAGTCTGTCCATCAGGCTGTTTCTTACTGTAATGTAATGTAATTTTTTTTTTACAAGTAATTGAGTTTAATTATGTAATTGTGACATCCATAGATTCAGTGCATTATGAAATTTCTGAAATCACCACAATTTGATTCTGTTCGATTATTTTGATTCAATTCAGAATTATTTTTTAAAAGTACACTGAGTATGCTAATGTGACTGGTGGGACAGGGCTGCCCCTGTTTGATTTGTTTGAGTTAGCCCAATCCCACCTTCTCATCCAATCACAAACACATGTCCTTTATTTGTATATTGTTTTGTCTTTTTGGCTCTTGGTCCATCACAAACATTGCTCGTTGGTCTACAGAGATAAAAAGTTTGGGCATGCTTGATTGACACAATGAAAACAATTCACCAGTGTTTTTTTCTGTCTTTATGCTTGGAAAAAATTAGCCTAAGAATTTTATTATGGCAAAAAATGACAGCGTACTTTAATGTTCAAAGATCAATAGTGCTGATTCGCCACCCTTCGACTGACGCATCAGAAAGCATTGATGCATTTTAACACCTAGTGATTCAGCAAAATGCACCAACAGAAATCCACTCTATGTTTGACTGGAAGGCTGCAGGGAAACGTAAAGATTTCTAAGGTAAAATTATAATTAGCAGGTCTTATGATGTGTCCCTGAACACCTTCGCAACACACACAAACATGCACATATAATACATATAAAGCATTATAATTATAAAAGAAATACATTTCTGTACGTGGATGCTGTATCATCTAATGCAGCATTCATTTTAAATACATTTTCAGTAGACCCCATAACTGAAATTAACACTCTCTGTATATGTATGTATGTATATATACAACCCTCTATACCTGAATATGGAATGTACAATCTAATTGGCCTTGAACAGACCAACTATCAGTGTAATGGTTAATGCATTGAATGTCTTCTTTCTTGTTATTCTTGTTATTAATAATATTGCTATTATTGCTGCTGCTTTGGTGAATAATATAGGGATGTGCACTAAGGTCGTAATGTTTATGTTCAGTTCGTTTTTCTTGTCTTAAATAAAAATTTAATCAGAAATGAACACTCTGATGCATTAATGCTGCATGCGGGTTACCACCATCTTTTCATTTATTTTTCAGGTTGAAGTACCTGAGTTTCCTGAAGAACTGCAGCACTGGATCAACTTTATGAGCGCCAGCAGTCAGGCTCTCAAGGCCGAGAGCGGAGTGGAGGAGAAGAAGAGCGAGTGAAGACAGAAATGAACCTGCTCTCTTTATGAGGCAGTAACGTACATGTTTACATGACACATACTCGGGGAGTCGCACACAAAATGCATCAGTACTCACACTGCCTGGGATGTGCATTGCAAATGGAAACTTGTGTGGGGTTTACATTAATTACATCACGTAGTCGGAACAACAGTGTTTAGAAAGTGATCTTGCGTGCTGTAGCTCATTATACTGATAGTAACGCTACCTAGACATCTACACCACAAACACTATTACAATGCAATGTGCATTTCATCCTAATTTCAGAATAATGCTAATTAATGCAATGTTTCACTCTGTCTTCAGTGTATGCACAATATTTGCATCCCTTTTAATGCATATATTATTTTTTTGTTAGAGTTTTGCTATTAAACTGACATCAGGCAGTTTCGAAAACTGGAGTGCAAAGGATAAAAGAAATAAAAAAAGTTTGAAGTTTGACACTTGCACTTTCACTCACTATTTCCGATCATGAAAAATTGATGTTCACTATGTTGGGAATTGGCCAGTAAAACAATACAGTGATTTCAGACAGTTCATTCCAAGACACTCTATATAGCAGCACTGTGAAAGAAAAGTCACTTAAAATAAACCCAGAGCTCAACATAAAAGCTCCACCAGAGGGGTTGTGACAGCAAAATTTAATCAGAAAAGTGTGGAATCCTTATTAAGAATAGCCATTGTAATTATTTTTTTTACTTAATTTTTAATTGAATTTACTTTATGAAAAGACAGGATTTTTCTTCTGTGGACGAGTTGAAGTTGTAAACACTTTAATGAGTTTTAAACACTCAAATATTTTTTTTTTATTATTATTATTTTTTTAACAAGCATTAGCCAATGACCATACAATTTTGAAAATGCTCATTAGATTGTAAAAGTATGTTCAGAATAAATCAGTTTATTAAAATATTTGATGCATCTTATTTAAGTAGTTACCTGGATGAATCATTAATAGTTAAACACTGCCCCACTCACTTATGTTCATTTGTTTATCTGGACCTTTATAAGCAAGAAGTTTGATGTAACCTTCACAAGCTTTAGTGGAAAACCCCTGCTCTGTATTGACGTCCTTTAACAAAGGCTGTCTTGTGAGGTTGACGTCACATTTGCCATTTAGTTGATGGAACATCCAGTTAAATATATCCACAGTTTAGGTTTGACTGTTTATATTTACATTTTAGACATTCCTAACTCAGCCCAGATATATCTTCAGTCTATTTCCAATTAATGATATCTTCAGTGCTTTGTGATCTAGTGCTAGTTCTAATAGCAGCCCCTGTGGAGAACCTTTAGCCTGCTGAACGCGACCGAGCATCTAAAAAGTCTTCAGGGTTAACAAGCACCACATTAGCTTGAAATATGTTGGACCCTTTCAAAAAACGCTTATGTCTGTTGCTAAAATTAGTATTAAAGGGGGGACCTATTATGTTTTTCTGTTTTTTTTTCCCCCCTTTCCTTTACTGTGCTATATAGCTTTTTGTGCATGTAAATGGTCTGAAAGCTACAAAGCTCAAAGTACAGAGGGAGTAACTCTGACCCAGAGAAACTGCTTATCTCAGCTGCCTGCTCTTTGGAATTCCAGCCCTTTACCTTTTTTACAAGATGACGCAATCTCATAACACAGTCCTTATATCCCACCTACCAGCAAGCTTGGCACGCCTTCATACAATGCACAGCAACTACTGCAGGCCACAAAGTGTTAATAGCGGTGATTTACAGCTACTCAGGAGAGAAGACTCTGGCAGCTGACCAGTTAGAACAGAGTAGGAGAGCTGACCAATCAGTGCACACTGGGCTCATCGGAAGGGGGACTTAAAGACACGGGAGCTCTAGCAGAGGGTGAATAGAGATGTATAGTATGAGAAAAATAATGTGTTTTTGGAACATCGAAGCATGTAAACCTATTCTAGACCCCAAAAATAAAATTATGAGCACTGAAAATGAGCATAATGGGTCCCCTTTAACTAGCATTACTTGCCTTCCACTGTCCAAATTTAGTTCCAGTACTTGAGCACAGAAGTACCAAGAATGGTTAAAATACCCAGAAATGTTCTCATTCTGACTAGTGAGGATGCTTTGGCTGCTGACTCGTGTTTTTCTAAGGTTTATGGGTTTCAGGCCCCTCCCCTCTTTAGATTACACCACTGATTGCACACTATTAGCAAGTGTACAGCACATCTTGTACTGGTGCCCTTCAGACTTTCTTTCTAGGAACACAAGTCTATGGTAAGCCCTTTTGCCAAACTGATTTGTTTGGCTATTCATAAGTACATTTAGAGGATGCATATTGAAGAGTTACGGTGTAATCAGAATGCTAGTTCAGAGACCTCTACAATTACAGTCAGACTAAAAGAAAGACTGTTAATGATATCTGCAGATACTCAAATCCAGGGCCATTTCTGAAAATGTCTGGGCCCTAGGCAACATACTAGTTTGCAACCACTACCCCCCCAACCTCCTAACCCTCAATTTCATTCTTTTGTAAGCTAGTATACAAAAATAATTAATACTTCTTTCAATTTAATTGGAAAAAACACAAATCTCTGGACTCTGTTATCTTTTTATACAAATAAATTGGATTATACTGCCTATAGCCAGAAATGCCCCTGCTTCAGATCTCTTATGCTGGCTTTATTGCAATCGGAGCAATTCAGCAAGCACACCAGGAAGCTAGAAGCAGTTCTCAGCATGGCATGAAAAGCTTCAGCACGCCTTTGATATCTACAGCTGCAATTCGTCTGGTCAGAATGATAAGAGCTGTCTAGGCAAAACTCAAAGACAATCATTGTAGATATGTAGATAGAATGACTTTTGACTGGTAATATCTTAATTCCCATATCTATAAAGGTCTTGAGGAACCGAAGATATTCATCAGAGTGAGTCTTTTCAGAACTACAGTGCAGATACATTTGGGTTGAGTTAGGACTTTCAATAATTTAAACATTAATAGTCCAAACCAAGCTGCAGATATTTAATTGGATGTTTCATATAACATAATGGCAAAAGTGACGTCAACCTTGCAAAGGTTTCAGAAATAAAGCGATATTTTAGCATTTTGACATTTTGACAGACATCCTGAAGTAGTGTTTGACTCTGTGGTTTGTCTGCTAGTGTCTGTGGGTTTAAATCTGCCTCAGGCTTTGCTTATTTTTTATTTAGAGAAAGTGTTTAATAAGTGGCATGCAAATTGCGCATGTGAAGCATTTGCGAGTGTTAATCAGGACAATCAAGCAAAACTATAAACTTGGCCTGCATTTTAAAATAGTTGTTTTCATAAAGAAATGTGTTCAAATTAACAACATAAGCTATTGTAGCTTTTATTCACTTCATGCTGAAGAAGAAATGACGTTGATCAATGAGCCCAGTGTGATTGGAGATGTCGCTGCTGTCAGAACAAAACCTTGTATCTCAATTTTTATCGTTTTTGACAATTTGAAAATGCCTGTTGTCCTTTATACTGTAAGTAAATTTCATGAAGAATGGACCAAAAGAAATGGCCCAAACTTACTTGGAAAAACGTCTGGTTCCATTGACTTAGATTAAAAGTAAAGTATGTTTTTTCCTTCTGCTGTTAAGTTACCAATTTGGAGATACAAGGTTTTGTTCCGATAGCAGCGATATGATAAAGTAACATTTACAAATTCTATTTAGTCTAGGCTTAGACTTAATCTGGGTCTGGAAAAGCAGGCATACAGACATGGACAAATTTGTTGGTACCCTTCCACAACAAAAGAACCCATAATTTTCTCTGAAAAAACTTGAAACTGACAAAAGTAATTGGCATCCATCTATGTTTATTCCATATTTAATAGATCAGACTAATCAGACTTTGCTTTTGACTTATGATTCCACAGAACATTTTAAATGATAAATTAAAATGGCATGAACAAAAATGATGGGACCCCTAAACCCAATATTTTGTTGCACAACCTTTAGAGGCAAGCACTGCAAACTGCTCCATCCTGAGCAAACTGCTCCAACTGTCTCAGGTTTGAAGGGTGTCTTCTCCAGACCGCATGTTTCAGCTCTTTCCATAGATGTTTGATAGGATTCAGATCAGGGCCCATTGAAGGCCACTTCGGAATAGACTAGTGTTTTGTTCTCTTATGCTTTTCGTGTGTGTTTTGGGTCATTATCCTGTTGGAGGACCCCTGACCTGTGACTGAGACAGAGCTTTCTGACACTGGGCAGTACTTTTCACTCCAGAATGCCTTCAGATTCAAGGCATCCTGTTCCAGATGCAGCAAAGAAGCCCCAAAACATAACCAAGCCTCTTCCATGTTTCACAATAGTTATGGTGTTCTTTTCTTTGAAAGCTTCATTTTCTCGTCTGTGAACACAGAGCTGATCTGACTTGCCAAAAAGCTCCAGTTTTGACTCATTTGTCCAAAGGACATTCTCTCAGAAGTAGTGTGGCTTGTCAATATGCATTTAAGCAAATTCCAGTCTGGCTTTTTTATGCTTTTATTTCAACAGTAGGGTCCTCCTGGGTCTTCTTCTATGGATCTCATTGTTACTTAAAAAGCGACGGATAGTGCCATCAGATACTGATGTACCTTGACCTTGAAGTTTAGCTTGTATCTCTTTAGAAATCTTCCTTGGCTCTATGTCTATCATTCGCACTGCCCTTCTGTTAAATCTGGGGTCAGTTTTCCTGTGTCCAGGAAGGTTCGCTACAGTTCCATGGACCTTAAACCTCCTATAATATTTGCAGCTGTGGGAACATCAGGCAAGATGGTCCTATAGCCTTTACCTTTAACATGTTCTCCTCAGACAGCTCTCTGTCCTTTGCTTTATGTGGTCCATGTTCAGTATGGTGCACACAATGATACCCCCTATGGAAAAAAAAATGATTCCAAATGTATTTATCAAATATATTTTTGCAATGTAAGAAAATAGTTATAACAAGTATTTGTTTAATATATTTTTAAAACACATTTATTTGCATTTGTTACTATATATATATATATATATATATATATATAATTGTATGTAGTTTTAAGAAATGTTAGGTCAGATAAAAATATATGTCGTATATATAGTGTGATACTAATTAAAGAAAACAGTTTGAAATATCACTACGATCCAATTATTTATAATCTTATCTAGGGGTACCAACACATCTGTCCAGGCCGACAGATTTTAGAATATCTTTGTGAAAAAAGTAATAAATAGTGTCTGTAGCCCTCAGTGAGACTTCTGCACCTGTCAACATGTAGTTTGGCCCACTCTTCCTGAGCAAACTGCTCCATCTGTCTCAGGTTTGAAGGGTGTCTTCTCCAGACTGCATGATTCAGCTCTTTCCATGGATGGTCGATAGGATTTAGATCAGGGCCCTTAGAAGGCCACTTCAGAATAGTCCCATGTTTTGTTCTTATCCATTCTTGGGTGCTTTTAGTGTGTGTTTTGGGTCATTATCCTGTATCTTTGTGTAAAAGTAATAGTTTTTCTTTTCACACTTTGCTTTACTGTATAAAAACAACTGGTTTTAGTTTCCTCACTTTTCAGAAGGAATGAAGCATTGTTTCAATGAACTGTAAGGGCACTAACAAATGTATCCATGTCTGTGTATATCCAAAAGTAGCCAGGCACTCCGTCTAATTAGTTAATTCGGCTACTTTGAAGGGCCCATATCATGGACATTCCTCACTATTTCTGAAATAAAATAGTTTGATGTAGTATGTAAGCATTGTTAAAGTTTTAAAACAGCATTCATTCCCCAGTCTATACAGTCCATATATGGAAACTAAGCTGCAAAACATTTTAAATGTATTTTTGTGACATTACAAAACAGCACACTTATATACATCCACCCATTCTGCCTGCAGTAGTTTAACCCTGCCCATTTATGCTGAACTTATGAGTGTTTCAGCCTGGACTGCTTTTTGAATGAGGCACAATAGACAGCAGCCAATCAGAACAGAGCATATTTACATATGTCAATCTTAATGGCACAGTCACAAAAACAGCCTGTTTTAAAGGGTAAAGAGAGGCTGGAAAATGAATTATGACTGTTTTTTGGATCACAAACCCATATAAACATTATAAGTAGACCTCAGCGAAAAAATGTAGGAGATGGGTCCTTTAAGGTGCACCCTTTGCTGACATAAGCAAATATCCAGTAATATCACCATATCCAGTCCTGAGTGTGGGCTAGAGTGGTATAAAGCCCCACAGCCCAGTACTGGTGGGCTTTATACCCACTTCTCTGGAGTGATGGAGCACCATCCAATTTCTCTGATGAGTTGAAGTGGCGTTTGTGATGGAACTAAGCATCCCATATCATTATCTGACCTCACTAACGCTCTTATATGCAATCAAATCCTCACAGCAATGTCCCAACATCTAGTGCAAAGTTTTCCCAGAAGAGTAGAGGCTGTAACTGCAGTAAAGGGGGGCAAACTCCGCATTAACACCCTTTGTTTCAGAATAAACGTGTCTACAAACGTTCGGACATGTAGTGTAACGTTAGCTGTACCGGGTCACGGAAAATAAGCTGTTTTAACCAGAAAGGAGGCGGAATCGTCGCTGCCCACGTGACTGCTGCGCACGCCAATCCAAACGCACACGGAAGTACCTTCATTCTGCACCCGGCTTCTCATAGCGTGAGTAAATGAAAATGCTGTCTGTTTGTAGCAATGAAAAAATCTCTGAATTGAACGTTTCTCATTTAGTTGAGTTCAGGCGTGTTGAATGGCTTGTTTTCTGATGCTGCAGCCGTATTTTGTCGCCTCTGCCCGGTTAGCCGCATCAACATGAGTGGGCAAAGCTAGCTAGCATTCTCTACTGCAGCCGGTGAGGCTGTAGAGGCTACAGTGAGAAGATGGTGGCTTTTCTCATGATGGTGTTTAAATATAAAAGATTTGCAGTTGCATTGTCAGAAAACAAGCTAAGCTAACTAAACTTAAGCATTTGAGGAATTTATTTAGGGTTGTAGAATACTTTGGACCTTGTTATGTTAGCTTAGGTTTATAATTTATGTAGGTTGTTAGCTTGAATACAGATGCTCTGATGCCTGGGTACTGTAGCCAAACCAAAACTGATTCATTACTGTGAATTACCTCTGAGGCCTGAATACTGACTAATGTGAATAATGTTTTTTTTCTGTTGTTGTCTTATGTTTGTGTATTTATTTACTCTCTTTGTGAATCTGTTTGAGCTGCATTTCAATATATAAAAGGTGTTATGTGGAGTATTATTAACATTATTATTATTATTTTTTTTTTTTTAATTACAAATAATATTATTATCCACTGTCCAGGTTCATCGATTCATGTCCAACCACTAAATTTAGTACCATAAGGAAAAATGCCATGAATTTTGTTCTGTGTTCCATGAATTTTATGCTGGGGGTCAACATGTTTGTGGTGGTCTGAAGGCCAAAAAGACAATAGAAGGTAGTTTTTTTATAATAATACTTCATATTTTATAAAAATAAAACACCTCAGAAATGCACATTTTAAAAGGAAAATAAGATTTGAATAAGTTATATATAGTATGAAATAAGTTTGTTTCTTGCTGGGTCAGGGTGTATGATTAGGGAACCTTTCTGGCCGTTCATATCAATTGTTCTGACAGGCCAGCTTTGGCCCATGGGCCACATTTTGGGCAGCCCTGGTCTAAAGTGATGAACATTGTGTAGTTATACCTTGGATTTATTTGAATTTTGTGCATTCATGTAATTTTCATTTACACTACATCAGTATTTATCCATATGTGTAAATCGATATGAAATATTTCCTCAGATTTGTGATTTAGGCAAGCTCAAAGAACAGATGGACCAAAAGAAATGAAAAATGTCAAATCTGGACACTAATGGGTTAATGGCCATGAGAAATTGTTGATCACTGAGTGACTTGAGTAGTCAAGTGTGTAGGCGTGTGTTTAATCCCACTTACGATCTCTGATTTTAGAGACAGCATGCTGTGGGTCCTGTCAGCCCTGTTGGTGCTGTTTGGCTGCTTTGACGTGTGGTACTTCCTGAGGGGGGCATGGGTCGTAATAAAATGTGCACTCCAGGAACCGGTCAGAGATGTGCTGGCTGAGCAGGTCATCCATAGCCGAGTGCTTCCGCAGGACCTGGACTTCATGGGCCACATGAACAACGCCCGTTACCTGAGGGAGTGCGATATGGGCAGGGTTGCCTTCTACACCCGCAACGGGATCTTCAAGGCCTCCCGTGTGCTGAAGGCCACAATGGTCATTGGAGCCTCGACCATCCGCTACCGGCGCTCACTCGCATTTGGGGAGGCCTTTGAGCTGCGTACCCGCATCGTCGCCTGGGATGAAAAGTCCTTCTATGTGGAGCAGAGATTCGTCTCCAAATCAGACGGCTTCATCTCTGCAGTGATGCTGTGCAGGCAAAACGTCCTTCGTAGCTCTCCAGACAAGATTTTGGAGTTCCTCTGCAAGAGAAAGGTAAGATCATGATGGCTCCTGTCAGGTGAGGTGTGCAGGAGTTACAATACACCATATCTTATTAGGGATGTGAATTATTAACCATTAACTGACAAATAAACAATTGTTCGATCAGTGCTATTGGTTAAAAACATTAATTCAATTTTAATTTTCAATAAGCAACAGTTCCTATTTGAATAGTTAGGTCTATCAGTTAAGTTGAGGAATGTTTTTCAATTGTACGCATGAGGGCGTAATAGGCAATTAGTTCTGCTAGATGAACCTACTAAAAAATGAACTGCAGAGCTAAAAATAGTGGTGTTTGGGACCACTGTTTAAAACAAACACCTACAAACAATAAGACAGACAACATCTCATTGATGGGCTAGTAATGAGTGATAAATATAGAACTATAGACTTTAAAATATAGCTCAGCTGGGTTTCCAAAAAGAATCTTAGCGCAAAGTTTATTCTTAAATGGTCAAGTAAGCATCACATTGCGCACTCTGCCTGCTAGTTAAGGTGATCTTAACACTAAGATGCTTTTGGAAACTGGGTCCTGTTTAGTTTTGGTCATATAATCATGAACATATTGTATTATACTCCAGTCCACAGTCCATACAAGGAGCACTTTTTAGTATCTCAGCGCATTAATACAGAATTCAGTTTATATGTGTGCTCATATGTTTGCAAAGATCAAGTATTTTACAGTGGCTTTCAACATGGCTCAGCCAATCAGATTTTAGAACCGGAAGTATCTGTTTAATTGATGGGTCACATCCTTCATGTTAGGTTTACCAGTTAAGGATTAATCACTGTCTAATGACGGTCGGTTATCAGCCAGAAGAACTGGCCAAATTTCCATTCCTATATCATTTTGTATTGTATCGTATGTACTTGTATTGTATGTAGTTGTGTTGTATTGAGTTGTATTGTATTGTATCATATTGTACTAAAGGTGTTGGCTAGTGTGTTAGTTCTTAGTACACCAATTGAATGTGCTAGCTCCTGACTAGCGCATTCAGTTGGAGCACTATAAAGCTCACCTTCTGTATCATGTGTCTATGCTGCAAATGAACCAGTTTAATTAGATTGGGCAAAACTTCACTGTGCCAAGTCTCAAATATTTTACTCACAAAATGTTGAGAGCACTAATATACTGAAAATGAATATAGGCCCATATCTTACATCTGCATTTTATTTTGTTTCCCTGAGGTCCACTTCTGACATTTGTGTGGTTTTATGTACCAAATCAGTCATCATTTAGTTTTACATGACAATTTTCCAACCTCTCTGTATCCCTTAGAATCTTTTAATTAATGTGCGCTTTAGACAAATATATGTAAATGAGAACTGATTAGCTGTTTTGTTTTGTGCCTCTGGTGTAAAACACTAAGCAGGGCTAAACTGCAGTAGAACTGAATAGATGGGTATGTAAATGAGCTGGTTTTCATGACATCAAAAAACAGTGAATTCAGAATAGACCATTTTTGCAGCTTGGTTTCCATATATGGGCTCTTTGGACCTGGGAGTGAATGGTATATTTTAAAACTTACAGCGTTTACATACAATGTCAAACTGATTTTCCATGAAATGGGCCCTTTAACGTACTAAAAATAGGCACATTTTCCTGGCTGTTTGTTTTAGGTGGAATGCCCTGATATCCCAGAGGACCTTCAGCAGTGGATCAAGTTCATCTCAGCTAGCAGTCAGGCACTGAGAGCAGAGAGTGGATTGGAGGACAAGACCAAGTGATTTCAGATAGGGACCATATATTCTTTATCAAGCACATTTGCCCTAGTTCTTATTTATGTGATGTGAGATACCTTAAAAGAACATATAATCTTGAAAAAAAAGGCATTTCTAGTTCTGAATGTGTACACCCAGCTTAAAATGTAGAGTCGTCCATTCGCCCATGCATATCTAAAACCTGTACCTGATATTTATAGAGTGCGTATTATAACTTTATGTAGAAAAACGGTACCTTAAAGCACTTTGAGGTCTTTGCATTCAACTTGATTTTCGTTACTTATACAACCATGTTTTCACATAAATTGGAACACTGTGGAGAATGTGGATAAAAATAGAATGTAATGCTGTGAAAATAGTACAAAGACAACATATCAAATTGTAAAAAATACGCCTTTTTTAAATCTGATGCCAGCAACACATTTAAAAATGTTGGGATGGGAGAAAAAAGGTTGGTAAAGTTGTTTCATGCTAAAATAAAACCTGGCGATTAATTGGGAACAGGTCAGTAATAAGATTGGGTATAAAAAGAGCCTCTCAGAGTCTTTCAGAAGTAAAGATGAGGACGGGTTTACCATTCTATGAAAGACCGTGCAGGTTAATAGTGCCACAATTCAAGAATAATGTTTCTCAGTGTAAAATAGCAAAGAAATTGGGGATTTCATCATCTACAGTACAGAATATCATTAAAAGATTCAGAGAATCCAAAGAAATCTCTGTATGCAGGGGATAAGTCTGAAAACCAATACTGGCTATCTGTGATCTTAAGGCTCTCAGGCAGCACTGCATGGGCTCAGGAACACTTCTGAAAACCATTGTCTATGAACACAGTTCGCTGCTGCATCCACAAATGCAAGTTAAAACTCTACTACAAAGAAGAAACCATATATAAACAGGATCCAGAAACACCGGTGCCTTCTCTGGGCCTGAGCTCAGTTGAGATAAACTAAGGCGAAATAGAAAAGTGTCCTGTGGACCGACAAATCAAAATTTGAAATTCTTTTTGGAAATCATGGACACTGCATCCTCCGGACTAAAGACCACTCGGCTTGTTATTATCACACAGATCAAAAGCTGGCATCTATGATGCTGTGTGGGTGCATTAGTGCACATGATGGGTGACTTGCATATTTGTGAAGGCACCATTAATGCTGAACTATATATACAGGTCATCTAGATAACGTCTTTTTCGGGGAAGGCCTTGATTATTTCAGCAAGACAATGACAAACCACATTCTGCATTTGTATTACAACAGCATGGCTCCATATTAAAAGAGTCCAGGTGCTAAATTGTCACCCATTAAAAACACTTGGCGCATTATAAAATGAAAAATATGACAAAGGAGACCCCAAAATGTTTGAGCAGTTGAAATCCTATATCAAGCAAGAATAGGAAAACATTTCACTTTCAGAACTAAGAAAAAGAAGAGGTGATGCAGCACAGCAACAAACATGCCCCCCTCCCAACTTTTCTGAAATGTGCTGCTGGCATCAAATTCAAAATGGGCATTTATTTTTCAAAAAACAAAAACATCTCTCAGTCTCGACATTTGATGTGTTGTTTTTATACTATTTTCAATTTTTTTTAAAATAGGGTTTACACGATTTGCATATCATTCTGTTTTCACTTATATTTTGCACAGCATCCCAACTTTCTTGGAAACAGGCTTGTACTATAGTTGATGCTGACTGGACACAGAGAATGTCTTTTGTTGAAAAGGGAACATTTGATTGCATGTACTGGGTCCTTAGAGACACTAGTATATCTGACCAAATACATAAATGAATAAATATGATCTGATCAAGTAAATTATAACCAAACATCTTTATCCTAAACTTGAAAATAGCTTTACTTCAAATGTGCAATAACTACTGATGGTATTTTTGCAGATTGAAAAGTAAAATTCTGGTGAAGTGTAAATGATTCTAGTGACTGTTAGTGAATATCAACAGTTACGTATTTATAGACTGTTTCTCCAGGTCTGTGTTATTCTAATGTACTGTCTATTTAATTTAAACCATCCTAAAGGATTGTTTATTATTTATATGGAGAATGTGTTTGTTTATTTTATTTAAAGTACTTGAGACGATGCACTGAAATGCAGTTTGCGCACAACAAGCATTTGCATGTTTTTAATTTAACAGGTATTATTTGAAATGAAATCAAGCAAAATGAGCAAGGTCTGCATTTTAAAATAAAGTCATTTTAATAAAGATTTGTGACTAATGTGTATTTCCTAATATTTCCACCAATAATTTAGCATTCCTAAACCCTGCCAGTTTGGAGCTTCAGTCTTCTACCTCTTCTTGCTTTAATACTGCCATCTAGTGCCTGTAGATTTCTAGGTTAGGTCCATAGTGGTAGTTTCAAAGGTGAATTACACCAAAATACCTGCATAACTTAATCACTGAGATGTACACAAAGTCATTCATAGTGGTTTGATGTACTTTATTGTAGAGAAGCTTGCCCCCTTTAAGATAAAAATTTGGAAATGTATGAAAAACAGCCATTCATAATTTCTGTGAAGATATATCCTAACATGCAAGACAGAAGACCACAAAATGCAATTCAAATAGACACAATTTAAGTGCTTTTCAGGGTTACAGGAACACAAAAAACCTGATTGAGAGAATTGATAAAACCATGTAAATTCATCTCAACAGGTCATCATATTTGCACAAACACACATTCTCACATGGTAGGAGCTAGCTAAAGTAAAAAGACTTAACTAACATATTAGAGTGAGTGAGAGATGAGTCCTGGGGTTGGGGCGGGGGTGTGCTGACTGTGTTCTAGCCCTCCCCTATCATTACATCAGTGATTGGTCTTTTAATCGTAACATGACTCAATTCTAATGACTCACTAAAAGATCAAATAAAAAGCAACATTAACGAATACTGTTAGTGAGTGCAGTCAGTTATTTTTTTGATAATGATTTTAATAGTCAAATAAATCTATTAAACTCTCTCATATTGTGACCTCATGATGCCAAAACATCTTAGAAATATACAGTTATATATTCCTTACATGCCCAACTTACTGAACAAATGCTCTGCTCTTTCTGCTTAGGTCAACGTGAGTCCACATTTGTTCTTTAAATGTGATTTTTGTTTCATGCTTTTGGAGAGAGATTACGTTTATTATTTCAACAAGCTTGTTGATGTGAATAACTCCATAGTAGTGAAGTGTAATAATGTAATAGGGGTTGTAAAAATATGGATGAGGTCCCCTATAGATAAGCTACAGATACTTCAATCGTCAACAAACTTTCCGGTGATACCCAATTGATTATCAACACCATTATGGTTAGGGTTACGTTTATGAGTATGTTGTTTTTGCATTGAGGTTGGGGTCAGGGATAGATTTAATTCATTTAATTTAGTCTTTCACACTCAACTTCAAGTTCAGTTGCATTTAATAAATATTTAGTCAAATGTTTAGTCAAACCACAGTACAGTATTAGTGTTCAAAATATTATTTTTATATATATTTTTTTACACATACACATTTTTTATATATATATATATATATATGTGTGTGTGTGTGTGTGTGTGTAAAAATATATATTTAAAAATATGTATTATTTATTATTATAAATATTATCAAAAATATTTATTTATTATTTATATTTTAAGTTATATGTGTAAGTTATATTTACTACTGGATTTGTGATCCATACATGCCTCCCCTCCAAATGCATTTGTCTGTTGTAATATGAAACATAATTATAATAAAAAATATAAATATAATCTAAAATATAAATATAAAAAATATATATAAATAAAAAAACCTTTTCACAATTCCCTCCGGGCTTCCGGATACAGGCCCCTCCCTCTCACTTGTCACATGACCCTCCTTCTTCCTGCAAAAACAAACCCTGCCTGTCCGCCTCGCCCCGCAGTGTTTACTGTCATAAACCAGAAAATGGCGCAGGCTGGAGTGTTTTTGGAGCAGGATCAGTTTAACTGCTCCATCTGCCTGGACGTCCTGAAGGACCCTGTGACGGTGCCGTGCGGACACAGCTACTGTAAAGGCTGCATCAAAGGCTACTGGGACCAGGACGACTACCTGGGCATTTACGGCTGTCCCCAGTGCAGGCAGAGCTTCGCCCCGAGGCCCGTGCTGGGCAGGAACACCATGCTAGCCGATGTCGTGGATAAGCTGAAGAAAACGGGTCTCGGTTTCCCTCGTCGGCGGTTCCCGAGGCTCCTATGTCCGAGCCGACGTTCGCCGAGCCCGGGGACGTGGAGTGCGACGTGTGCATCGGTCGGAAGAATAAAGCCTTCAGGTCGTGCCTGGTTTGCTTAGCTTCGTACTGCGAAACCCACCTCAAGCCTCACTACGAGTCCCCTGCCTTCCAGAAGCACAGGCTCACGGCTCCGTCCAACAAGCTGCAGGACAGCCTCTGCTCTCGCCATGACAAGCTTCTGGAGGTGTTCTGCAGGACAGACCAGCACTGTATCTGCTACCTTTGTCTGACAGATGAACACAAAGGCCATGACACTGTTCTGGCCTCAGCAGAGATGACAGAGAAAAAGGTAGAATTTCTAGGCCATACTGGGGTCTTTTGTGTTATTGTGTAACGTGTACGACATTGTTAAAGGGGGATTCATCTTAATTTTTGCATTATTAAATTATTATGTTGTAAACAAAGGCATTCAAAGTAATTGATGTGAACTGCTCCAGTGTTCCCTTGTAGAGAAACTTAGCCGGTCAGAATTGATCACAGTGGTGGTGATAGGAACCAGACGTCTGAAGTGTTTAATGTATCTAAAAGCTCTTTCACAGAAAGGTGTTACATGCATTGGTTATAAATATGCTGCCTAATGCGTGAGACATTGTTTTTCAAATTAGGTTTGATTTAAGGGTTGTTATTTGTGATATTAAGATTTGGTCTAAATTATTTTTTAATACATTAATGCGGGGGGAGGTACATGCAGGGCAAAATAATCCCCAAAGAAAGACGACAGAAGACACGTGTAGGTTCACTGGTGGTTTGAATAGTAGATAAATTGGTTATATTCGCATTGCAGACGTGACGCCTGGTTCCTATCACCACCACTGTGAATATGTCAATACGTTTTTCTACAGTTAACAATTTCAGATCAAAACACCCTCATTATATTGAGCACAGTTTATCATATTATACTATTTAAAATTCTTGTTTCTCGTCAAGGTGACTTTTTGCCCACCTCTAAAACGTCTTCAGAGTTTTTCACCTCCCCCTTCCACCACCCCCACTGACCATAGAGAGAAAGCACCCAGCTAGCTCAGAGACCCTCCCTGACACTATGCAAAATATGTCACGATATGAAAAGGAAAGAAAGTTACATTATCCTCTAACTTTAAACATTCAACATTTGCATGTGTTTACAGAACACCGTGGCCGAGATGCAGAGGAATTCTCAACAGAAGATTCAGGAGAGAGAGAAGGAGTTGCAGGATCTGAGACAGGCTACGCAGTCTCTCACTGTGAGTAGGAGACTTGAAATATCTACTCAGAACAGATAAGCCATGCTGATGGGCTCACATTCAGGGTTTCTTTCATCATTGTTAGACATTATCTGTTGTTTCTATTGATCAGTTTGTTTTTTGGTTGATTTGGGATTAGAAGGTAGCTACTTCTGTGGTTCCTCTCGACCAATCACCAGCATCATTTACCATTCTGTGTGTTTCTTCTTTTATGGTGTAATGAAAGTCTTATTGCCTTCAACGTGTCCTCTAGTGTATTTAAATATGTGGATTATATAAAAGTATCATGCAAACATTAAGAAGCTTAACTTCTTAACAGCATGCGTGTCATCTGATCATTGCAACAGAAAAAAAGGAAATACTTTCCTGATATTAAAAAAATGTGGCTGTTATTATTTTTGCAGCACCCCTTAAAGGGCACTTATCTAACATTTGTCTTGTATTGTAAGGCCCTGTAAAGCATTTGTGTAGGTTTATGTACCAAAAACATGTATGTATGTAAATCATCAAACTTTATTTCAAGAAAGTGAGGAAATTTAGTTTTACTGTAAAATAAGACAAGCTGACTTTCTAAGTGGCTACATCAGTCAAAACTGTGACACCGTTTACACATCATATGCCTTTCCACAAACTACACTAAAACATTTTTGAGGCAAAACTTGATACATTAATATGGTTTTAATACTATGTCACTTTTAAGAACCTGTTTGCTTTGGTACAGAGCAAGTCTTAGTGTATCATCCTGTATAATAACAGTCAGGGAATCCACTGACATGTTTACTTTTCAAGTCATCTGCATTCTGATCCATTCGTTCCTTTCAGCTCTCTGCGCAGGCAGCTCTGGAGGAGAGTGAGCGGATCTTCACGGAGCTGGTGTGCTCTATAGAGCGGCGGCGCACAGAGGTGAAGGAGCTGATTCGGGCTCAGGAGAGAGCAGCCACAGGCCAGGCAGAGGAACTGCTCCGGCAGCTGGAGCGGGAGATCGCTGAGCTGAAGAAACGAGATACTGAGTTAGGCCAGCTGGTCCAAGCTGAGGACCATATCTCCTTCCTCCAGGTAGCACCTCTGACCTGGATGGTCAAAAAGCTGTACCAAAATGGAAATGGGTTTGAGAGGCTCCGCAAATATGTCTATTTGAGCATGTTGGTGCCTGCAGTATATACTTGTCATGTCCATGAAATCTGGTCAAAACATTTTTAAATAAAGTTGACAAACATTCTATGTGATATAGCTTATGGAATCTTAAACTAAAAGGGAGATTCTGGCCAAAATGAAAAATTTAGCCTTTGTTACATCTGTTGTGAACAAGTACATCATGTAGAGGTGCTGCAGTAGTCTGTGGAGTAAGATTGTCTCCTTCTGATGATGTATCTAGAAGGTGGAAATAATTTTGAAAAAGCTGCTTTGGAGGTGGGTTTTTAAGTGTGAGTTGTTTTTATTTTTTAGCGGAAGGAAGGCAGATTGCTGATGTTACTGTGAGTAAGCAGAATATTTTATTGCAGCCATATATCCATAGTAACTCCTTGAAATCATCGTTACAATGGAGAGACTGAATTACTCAACTGACAGATTGACTCATCAGATGAAGATGACCACTAGCTAAAAGTTTAAGTTGCAAGGCAGCTGGCTACTTAGATATATAACTAGCTTGGTTGTATTTATTAGCCTTTCAGGCTATCAGTTAGGCTAGGCTGACACCTTAGGGATTCCTTATAGTCCTCTGAAGTCATGTGTCTTTCTGTAGTCAACAAAAATGAATGGGATTTTTGAAAATCACCAAACTTGATACTTTTTTGTACTATGTACATTTTTCAGTTGATTGTAACTGAATCCTCTGACTTACGAGGTCATTATTGAGTCGAAATATGAACATTGCTACATCAGTGCGACTCTTGTGCTCTGAAATGACATTGCATGAAAGTAAGTCTACTATTAAACTTCATCAGTAACAACACCAGCTACTCCTAATGTACTCTACTACTGCCAAAGCAACTTAACTACCACTATTATGGTAGAACCGATGAGCCTGAGGGAAACAGTGCTGCACTATAGATTATTGCATAAAATAACAAGTAACATATGAAACTCTAGTTTTAGGCATGAATGTCTCTTTCGTTAGATTTGCGGTGACATGTTAACATGGCCCTCTAACTATGGGCGTCCTTGACAACGTCAAGGCACAGCTGTTATAGTAGGCTTTCACTACAGGCTTATGTATGTAGGCTGTATTCATGAATTCATGCAGTCATCAACACTGGGAAGTCTTAAGTGAAACCTATCAGCTTCTTTATGCTAGAGCTCATGGTTATCTATGGACAGCAACACATCTTTTACATCCGTTTGTGCATTATCCATTATCTACTTTCACTATATGCTATATATCGTGTTTTTCTGTGGGTTGCAATATCACTGACATCCAGCCTCTTCCTCTTTTGCTTGATGTTCATGTTTAGAACTACAGATCTGCATGCATTCAGCCTGTGACCATGGACGTACCGGGCATCACCGTGGACCCAGGCTTTGGGTGTGTGATGAGTGCTGTGTCTGAATTCCAGGCTCTGCTTGAAGATGTCTGCCAAGGTGGATTTGTGAATATCTCAGAGAAAGGTGAGACATCAGTGGCTGTAAATCCAAGCCATGCAGGTTTGAGATTTGTTTCACAAGTAAAGCAACGATAAAGGCATTGCATTGTTTCACATATTCACGTCATCTATAACCCTCATACAGTGCAGGCTAGATCACAACTAGAGTACTTTTTTGAACCTGTGATTATGTGATGTCATGTTCTTAACTCCTTTTTTCCCTCTGGGGTAACAGAGTCAGGGTTCCCACATGTCTGACCTGGAACACTATGGAAATTTATAGCCTATGGATGGAAAATCAGGAAATTGATAAAATATCTTGGAAATATTAGTGTAAATTTGAGCCATTGAGTCACAGTCATTGCATATTTTAGCTGCTAATATCTAGTTTGAGCAGTTGGTAATGTTTGCTTCTGATATTTTAACAGAATGTTCACTAAAATGATGAGTGGTTTTTGTGGGTGTAGAGTTGGGCAACTTAATGATATTTTATTGTTATTGTGAAAAATTAGGTCACAATACGCTTTTCTGAGTACATTGTTGAAATCGTTAGTACTTAAACACTGACTAACTGCATGCTTCATTACAAAGTTAGCATAATTTAGATTTGGTACAGCACAGTTTGTGAAACATTGAATAAAAATAATTGTAGGTATTATTATTATTATTATTGTAGTTATTATTATCATTCTTCTTCTTCTTCTTCTTCTTATTATTATTATTATTATTATTATTATTATTATTATTATTATTATAGTATTTTATGTGACACTACAGGTTCTATTTCGTTCCAACTCATTAAATATAAAAAAATGAAATACTGTGACGCATATCATGTATCATGAAAATTTCTTGAAGTATTGTGATATAATATTTTTCATATCACCCAGTCCTATGTGGGTGCGTGCCAGTATGTCACCTAGCAAGTAGTGGGGATTTAGGGATTGTACTGATGACTATGAAGGACCTATATAATGGAAAAGTAGCATGGAAACATGTTTAAAATATCATAACATCCATATAGTCTATATGTGGACTGCTGCAAAAACAACAACAGCCTGTTTCGAAGTCATTGCTTTTAGCAGTTTAGCCCCGCCCATTTGTGCTGAACTTACAATGAGCGTTTCAGTTGTTTTGGCTGCTTGTTGACCAAGATATAATACAGGATAGCCAATCAGAACAGCTCTTATTTATGTAGATCAGTTTTAAAAGTACAGTAGCAAAAACAGACTGTTTTATTCTAAGGCATAAAGAGAGGTTGGAAAATTAGTTATGACTACTTTTGGTACATAAACCCAGGCAAAAATTATAAGTGGACCATAGTGGGGAAAAATAACATACATTAAAAATGTAAGATTTTGACCCTTTTATGTTAAGAAAGTCGATAGTTGTGCGTCATTTTAAGATCACCTTTTGTGAGCAACAGCTAACATGTAGAAAATCATAGCCATGGGGGAAAAACCATAGGAACCCTGAGATTGTTTAAAGTAGTTTAAACATGATTGTCTACTTGTAGTTGCTCATTTTATGTTTAGTGTTTCAATTAAAAACAGTTCATTTTAAAGCTTAGCTGTTTTTAATAAATATCGGAGTGGTATCAGCCGATACTCAGTGTTCAGTATTGGTATCGGAAAAGAGAAATGTCATATCTCCACTACAAAGACAGCAAAGAAAGAATTTATATTGTATAATACGTGTCTTAGTCCTGTCATTCTAAAGGTACTTTATACTAAGGTCTTTTTCTCTTTTTTACAGTGAAGGATGTCATCATTATTCACAATACAAAACCAAAAGCAGACACCGAGCTAAATGCAGGTGAGAGTTCATGTCAAATAACAGTAAATTATGGATGTGAAGGAGATACACTGTTGCTCAAAAGTAATAAGCAAAAAGCAGTTAAGTAAACTTGTGTGTGTTTTAAAGAAAAAAATGTGATTTTATGTGTGTACAGCTGTTCAAAGCTGTGTTTGCCAGTCATGTACTGGCTAGCACCTTTGAGTTCTGCTCCAAATTAGCTAAATTTGTCACTACCGAAACTTTTAAAAAGTTTTAGAGCTGTTGTTTTGGTAGTGACAAAATGGAATGTTCAGTCATTTCTTTTTTAATAAAATAAACAGAATTAAGGTATATGGTCGCTCAAAGCAAAAGGATTTTAGCCTAAATTCCAAGCCATTACAAAGTCTGAAATGGGTTTCCAACACTGACTTTGAGCCACTTCCATTTGATATTTCATATAATATAATGCTAATGTCTGCAAGTTCCAAATAATTTGAAGCTGTGAAACAAAAGAATTTAACATTTGTCCAGAATGTCCGAAATAAGAAAGAGATCAATATTGAGAATGATGTCACAATAAACATGCATCTCCAAAAATACCTGCTTTACTTAAATCTTAGAGTAGATTGTGTACATTTTATTATATTACGTTCATGCAGCCTGTGTAAGGTATTTTAATAACAAGTGATTCCAGGTTTTTTAATAGTAGAGGATGTGTTGTGTTGAGCAGCTTCTAATTTTGCCATTTTCCAGATTATGGTAAATCCTGTTTGTATGCAAGACTCCCAGGTGGGGATTTGTACAGAGAGAGCAGATTAAAAGTGATTTTAATAATAAACTAATTCTTCTTTCCCAGCTCTTCCTCCAGTGGCCCAAGTCACCTTTCCAGTGACCCCGATTTTTCAAAGCTTTGGCAGCCAAAACGCTTTTGGAGCTGCTGCACCCACGTTTAGCGGTTTTACGTTCACATCATTCGGTGAGTGTAAGGATTGATCCTGAATAAATCAGACATTAAATGAAAATGAAACAGTTAAATCAATTTGCACATACACTGACCGGCCCTTCATTAAGCACACTTGTCTGATACCTGGTCCATTTACCATATAGGTGTACTTTGTAGTTGTACAATTACAGGCTGTAGTCCATCCACTTGTGACAGCACAACACACATTACCACAAGTGTCACTGCAGTGCTGAAATGATCCACCACCCAAATAGTACCTGCTCTGTAAAATAGACACAAGTGTAGAAACAAGGAGGTGTACTTAATAAATTGGCCGGTGAGTGTAAATCCAACAACAGACCCCCACTGAAATAATGCTCTGAGTCTATAATGGAGTCCAGAAAAGCTCCAGCAGTCACAAATTCTACCTGGAAATCAAGGGTATAGAGACACTACCTAAATCCATCAATCAATCAATCAACCTTTGTTTAAACTCAGAGTACACTGAGGGAGACCCTCATTTAAAATGTAGCCAATACAGAAATCAGGGATTGAAAAAATTGGATTGTAAAAACATATCAAATGCTAAAAAAAGTAATAATAATAGTCATAATAGTAAATTTAATTGAAAAAACAGTATAATAACTTAATAAATGACAGATCAAACAGGGATAAAATGAACAAAAACATAGTTAATGAAATAAACAACGGAATAGAAGATGTTAAACAATAACATGTCGTCATTAGCTAAGAAGTAAAATAAATAAAAAAGAATAATAAAAGTGACACAATAACTAAAATGGACCAAAATCATAATAAGTGTTAACTAAAATCAAATAAAACAGCTGCAGGCTGAGTGGAGGTAAAGTAGAAGTTTAAAATGTTCATGTGACACCAGCGATCGAAGCTTTAGAGTTTCCTGTTATGAATTCCAGCTCACTGCTGCACTGTAGCCAAAAGCAGATTTTCCCAGTAAAAGCTCTCAGCACCTGAAGGGTAATCCAATCACTGGAACAAGTCCGGTAAAATGCATTATTTACACTGAGCATTTTTGTGATGTACAGTGGCTTATGGCCAGTAAGCGCTTTATAGATAAAAGGAAGCCAATGGGTCTCCTGCAGCCCAGCCAGAGATGACCAGCCAACCTTTTCATGTAGTACAGAGTGATGGCAGTTGTAGGGGTCACCAGTAAAAAGACTACACTAGAGTAGTTACAGATGTATATCTGTATATCACATCACCATAATCCAGGATAGACAATAGCGTTGCTCCAACGATCTATTTCCTTGTGTAAATTGGGAAACAAACTTTGTTTCGATGCAGGAAGCCAAGTTTTTGCCTCAGTTAACATGTAAGCTTGTTAACAAAAAATTTTGCAACACGTCTGATCCCACAAGACAACCCCATAGCTGTATGCAAATAAAGAGTAAGTGTATATTAAAGTATGCAGAAATGTGTTCTCTGCAGAAGTTGTTAACTTAAAAAAATAAACATCTGTTTTGACCAGGCGTGCACAAACAGACATCTACATGCTTGTTATGAGTTTTCTAGGGGACTTTCAGCCGTGCTAACTTGTTACATCCGTGCCTTGATGACTGGCTTGTTATCAGTCGGTCAGTGTTGACGAGCGCACCATCACTAATTTGAGCTCTGCCTTCATGAGACGTTGGATTGATTTAGAAATTTCGCGCTCAGTTTGTTCCAACCCTAATAAGTCAATTAAGTATAAACCCTAATATGTTCCCACCGTCGTTAAGCCCAAAATGCCTCATGGTTGTACCCAGATGTTCTCGTTACGAAATCATGTCTGGCCCATAGTGCTTAGACCTGTAGTTGCAGTTCAAAACTAAAGAAGCAGACTTCAGACACCGGCATTCGGCTGATTGACTGTATTTGGGCTAATAGGTAACCAGTGGTTCCCAAACATTTTACAATCCTGGACCCCCTCAGGCATTAAACTTCCTGCTGTGTACCCATCTGTTACACACGCGCCTATATTAACATGATATGTAAGACATTTAGACTTATAAAATCAATCGACCTTAATGAATATATATGTATTCAAAAGTTTGGGTACACTGGTCAAAATTTCTGTCACTGGGAACAGCTAAGCGAGTAAAAGATGATCTGATTTCCAAACAGCATAAAGATGACATAGTTCTTCAATATTTTAAGCAAGATTGCTTGTTTATTTCCGTCTTTTACAGTTTCAAAATACCGAAAAAGGAAAAGGACCCAAAGCAGAAGTTTGGGCATCCTGTATGGTCAGTACTTAGTAACACCCCTTTGGCAATTATCACAGCTTGTAAATGCTTTTTGAAGCCAGCTAAGAGTCTTTCAATTCTTGTTTTGGGGATTTTCGCCCATTCTTCCTTTCTTCTATTCTTCCATTCTTCCATTCTTCCTAGAAGTAAAGGCTTTTAGTTCTGTGAGATTCCTGGGCCGTCTTGCATGCGCTGCTCTTTTGAGGTCAATCCACAGGTTTTTGATGATGTTCAGGTCAGGGGACTGTGAGGGCCATGGCAAAACCTTCGGCTTGCGCCTTATGAGGTAGTCTGTTGTGGATTTTGAGGCGTGTTTAGGATCATTATCCTGTTATAGAAGACATCCTCTTTTCATTTTCAGCTTTTTTACAGATGGTGTGATGTTTGCTTCCAGAATTTGCTGGTATTTAATTGAAACCATTCTTCCCTCTACCAGTGTCACTGGCTGCAACGTGCTTAACAGTTGGAGAGATGTTCTTTTCATGAAATTCTGCACTATTTTTTTTTCTCCAAACATACCCTTGCTCATTGCAGCCAAAAAATTCTGTTTTAACTTCATCGGTCCACAGGTCTTGTTCTTTTGCAAACTTCTAACACTGAATTTATTTTTTTTTTTTTGGTGAGGATGCAGGAAAGCTTTTCTTCTGATGACTCGTCTGCACATATTTGTGCTCGTTTCGCTGCACAGTAGAATAGTGCATCACCACTCCAGTGTCTACTGAATCTTTCTGAAGGCCTTTTGTAATCACACGGGGGTTTTGATTGGTCTTTTTAACAATCATACAAGCAGTTCTCTCTGAAAGCCTTCTTGGTCTTCCAGATCTCTGCTTGACCTCCACCATTCCTGTTAATTGCTAGTGCTAGGCAGCTGTTTAGTGGAGTCCATGGCTACTGATTGTTGGGACAAGGTTGGAAGAATCAGTGTTTATAAAGCTTTGAAATTTGCATGACCTGGCCTTTCCTAATTATGACTCTGAACAAGCCATAGCCATAACAAGCTAATTAAGGTCCGAGACCTTGGCAAAAGCCATCCGAGAGCCCAACCTTTGCATGGTGCTTCTTTCCTTTTTTTACTGTAAAATTGTACCAAAACTATATGCATACACTTATCTTGTGTCAGACACACTCACACTCTCTGAAAAATGATACTAAACTATCAGTGGGGTGGTACTTTCAAGGGTATGTCTTCAGGACCTTTAGTTAAGAAAGCCTTGAGCCTTAAGACCATTAATGTATCATTTAGTGGATATTCACATCCTTTACTTTGGAGAGCACACGTACTTCTACAGTACCTTTTTTCTGACAGTGCACTTCTATTAATGTTTACTTGAAACAGAATAATGCTTGGGATGTTTCAGTACTACTGTATAACAGGTGTGGGTCAGTCTGGGGTTCCTGTCAGAGCTCAGGGAGGCAGAAGACTGAAATTTCTTCATTTGTAATCATAAAGGTTGCAGCAGCAATATAAGAGAGCAAATATATGTGAGTATCTGCAGCTGTAAAATGACCTTACCTGAGCTACAGATTACGTATATCACGTTATCTAACGTCCTCCACTCAGACTTTATCAGCACTACAAATATATTAACAACATTCTAACAGCTAAACACTGACAACTGCAGCTACGAACCAACTGACTAAAACTGTGATCTAAAAAGTTTGTAATTGTGCGGCCGAAAATGAAATAAAATGAAGATTAATCTTGGAATTTTTTGACGTGCCTCTAGTGCCTTTCACTGTACCCCTTGGGCACCATTGTTTGGGAACCACTGGGGTAAACTGTAAATTTAACCCTGGGTAATTGTCGCTTTAAGGTTACTATGAGAAGTTGGCTTCTGAACTCCTTTCTCTTATTTATTTTTTTTTTTCTTTAGCTTCCAGACCTTCCGGTGCTCGCCTAAGAACTCAGCAGCGGAGGAGACGGAGGTAGCCTCATTGTAGGACTGACGGAGAACTGACCAGTATTCATAGTTTGTTTTATTTACCATTATCTGTGCATGATACGACAAGAAAATATTTTTTTATTTAAAACAACTTAAGCTTCACACACTAATTTAACCATGAAAGACAGATATATTGCAGAGTAGATATATCAGTGTTTTTATTTTGAAAAAGATATTGAAAATGTTACTTAGTTTTATTTTCACTGGACAATGCCAGCAAGCTGCTCGCATCCATTCAGTAGCATGACTTCATTAGTGAATCAGATTCTGTTACCATATTAAATGCACAGCTTTTAAGTATTTGTACAAAGCTAAAAATATTACGTACAATATAAAAGAGACTTTATCCACAGTGTAATTATTTGACTGACGTGAACAAGATGTAATTAGCTGCCTGAACTAGCTTTTATGTTAATTGCTATTTGTTCATAAAGTATGTGTGAACTGTCAGAATGTTTGTGAAATAATGTTTTATGTAAGGCATTGTTACAAGAAGAATGCCAAAATGCTTATTTTTCAGAACATGGAAAATAAAGTGTTTTTCCAAGTGACTTCATGATTGCATTGCATAGTATTTATTTCATGTTGGACCATATTACCCACTTGTTCATTTGCATAATTTGCTATTAATTAGTTTTACTTGCACATGACCAAGTAGGATTCTCAACTTTCAGTTTCCTTTTTCAGTGTTACAGTTTATGGACAAAAAACAAGTTCAGCTAGAATCTGTGTTGTTGGTTGTTCTCAGATTGCACTTCAATAAACACCAAGATAAACTGTAACTAAAAAAACAAATCCATCTCTGAGGGGGGGAGCAGCATGACCAAGCTTTGTTTAGATTGTATTACAAACTGCTCCTTGTAAGCCTTGAAGACAAGGGTGATGGCTTTTACTGCTGTTTAGCGTTACACTAATTCATCGAACTCCTCATTTGTTGCATTAAATTTTTAAAAATAAAGGCTCCTGTATGGTTATCTGCTTGAATGTATAGTTCTGAAAAACCCAACTGGTATAGTACCTTTTAAAAGAACACCCCAGCCAAAATGAAAAATGTACCCAATGCTACATCTGTTGTAAACATTCTTATTCACATCCTACAGCAGTGCTGCCGTAGTCTTTCCAGTGATATTTTCTGCTTTAACGATGAGGAAGACCCTCTTCTGATGATGTGTCTTGAAGGTGGGAGGAATATCTCAAAAACTACTTTTAGCTAAAAGCTAAGGTTAGCAAAGTAGTAGAATATCTAGATATCTTCCCTCAGTTGGCTTCTTTTCTCTGACTGAACAGGTAAAAATTTGTCTCTGGCATAAATTTTATGCTGAATATGACTACAATTATAAAATATTTAAATTTTTTAAATACTCCATCAGGTATTATTTATTTATTTTGCTTTAAAAATCCCTTGTTCTACCACATCCCAAAAGGTTTCCTATTGGATTCAGATTTGGTGACTGGAAAAGCTGAAGAACACTAAACTCATTGTCATGTTCATGAAACCAGTTTGAAAAAACTTTTGCTGTGACATAGCCATTAGAAGATGGGTAAATTTTGGCCATGAAGGGATGCACGTGGTGAGCAACAATACTCAAATAGGTTGTGGCATTTAAGTGATGATCGGTATTAACAGGCCCAAAGTATAACCAGAAAACATTCCCCACACCATTACACCACCTCCACCAGCCTGGACTGTTGACAAGGCAGGTTGGGTCCATGGATTCATGCTGTTGGTGCCAAATTCTGACCCTACCATCTGTGTGCCTGTCTTCAACTGTCCAGTTTTGGTGAGCTTGTGCCCACTGCAGCCTTAGGTTTTTGTTTTTGGCTGACAGAAGTGAAACCTGACATGGTCTTCTGCTGTTGTAGCCCATCCTCCTCAGGTTTGACATGTTGTGCATTCTGAGATGCTTTTCTGCTCAGCACAATTGTGATTTTATGTGTATATTTAAAATCTAGCAACCCTGATCTGGCTCTGAACAGCAGTGAGTCAGCTCTTTTAAGTGACTGAGACTCACACATTTAGGTCTGATCTCACGCTCCCACAACACAATCAACATTTTTCACTCATTTTTATGTCTCTCCCCAAAATGACCCACAGATGAACCTGAATGCTCATACAATTTCCCACTACTTCAACTTTAAATTAATTCAATATTAAATTGTCCTACATAGTTTTAATGCAGGTAGCATTTTCTGATAAGATGATTTAGGCTCAAAAGATCCTATCTATAGTTTTATATGAGGATCGACCTATAAATAATAAGCACACTTTCATTTATTCTGGGTAATAAACTCAAGTGAGAGCCTAGTAGCTAGCTAGCAGTCCTTGCCGTCCCCCAAGCTGTGCCAAATCTCAATCAGTCCGGAGTGCGGAGCTAATATTAAGCTAGAAAAACATTTGCTTCCCCACAGATTTTTGAATATTTAATTATTAAATGTTATTGATATTTGTCACAGCTCTGGTGCTGAATAAACATAAAATCTCAGTTTTTTTATGATGTTGTTCTAGTTATGACCGAGGTACGCATTACATTAATACTAGTTTGGTCGTATCTATTATATCGATCGGCAGCTAGGCTAGCAGTCTGGATTGGTTGACACCAGAGAGATTCCCAACGGTCATATGTTATATTTGTATAATACATGCTAGACGTTGTAGTGAAAAACATGAGGGCATGAAAACAATAAACCGGTGTGTTCTGTTAGACTGGTGACTTAGAGGAATACAATGCTATACTAAGATATTCAACTGTAGTTTTGGACCAGAGTGCCCTTTTTAATATTTTATGGGGTTTTTTTTATGTTAAAAAGTTTTTAATACGCACCTCGTCTTTACAAAAATGGTTCTTTTATATAACTCTAACTTGGTTACTAACTAATCTACTAACATGGTTCCTTTGTGGTATCACTTCCTTAATGGCACCCTAGTTTTTAAGTATGTAGGTTATGTAAGTGCTGGGAGCTGTAAACTTTAAAAGGGACTTTTAAAAGGTTCCTCACAGTTCTCAGTTACAAAAATGGGTCCTTTATGGACCATCGACTGGTAACATAAATACTCTCAGAGCCTGCATTTGATAATCACTTCCTTCATATCTTCCTGTTGCTTCCATGCAAAGCAGATCCATCCACCTGCTGCATTTCCACGCCTGTGGCAGTAGCACGTCCTTCCACTGTCCTGATCTTGCCTGTGATTGGCTGCTGTGGGCTATTTTGAGCACAACCTGGATCACCTTTCGCCTGTACAGCGGTTTCCCACGCCCAGTGTGTACATAAACCCTATTGTCTCCCTCCCTCTGCCTTTTTCACCCTTATCTCCCTCGCCCTCGCCACACGCCAAAGTACGCTTGTTGAAAATGGCAGCCGCCGCTACCATCTCAGTGGACGAGGACCAGTTCAGCTGTCCTGTGTGTCTGGAAATTCTGAGGGATCCGGTGACCATTCCCTGTGGCCACAGCTATTGTATGGACTGCATTAAAGGCTACTGGAGGAAAACAGAGCACAAGGCAGGCTACAGCTGCCCTCAGTGCAGAAGAGGCTTTAACCCAAGGCCTGTTCTGGCCAGAAACACCATGCTGGCTGATCTGGTGGACAAATTGAGAGAGGCTGGGGTCCAGGAGGCCCCTCACGGGCCGGCTAAAGCAGCAGAAGTGGACTGTGACGTGTGTTCTGGGAGAAAACGGAGAGCTGTGAAGTCTTGCATTAAGTGCTTGGCTTCCTACTGCGAGGTTCATCTCAAACAGCACAACGAGCGTGACCGCTCCAAAACCCACAGACTGACGGAGGCCACGAGACACCTTCAGAAAAGAGTGTGCTCTCAGCACAGCAGGCTGTTTGAGCTCTACTGCCGCACAGACCAGCAGTTTATTTGCTGCCTTTGTACCACAGATGGACACAATGGACATCACACAGTAGCAGCCTTGGAGGAGAGGACTGAAAAGCAGGTGACAGTTCATTTCACTTCAACTCTTTTTATGTAACACTTTTACAGCAGTCTCAAAGCAGCTGTCCAGAAATGTAGGTCCAGACCTCTAAAGACAACAATTTTATTCTCAAAATAATTGCCAGTCATATAGTCATGTAGGTACTTGATTAAAGGGTTTAAAGTGATGCAATCAAACCTCAAACTATTTTGTAATTTTTATGGATATCAGTATGTCATACAGTGTCAGAAACCACATAAGCATATCTATTTAATATTACCTGATGTTGTTTGAGGCAAGTATGTGATGTTTTAGTCATGAAGTTTGCCCAGTGCTAACACTAATTGCTGGGGTATAAGCTTCTATTACTTGTTGGCTGCATTAGCATTAGGAGGAAATACTGAGGGGACCCAGTCTTCCTGTAGGCCGCACCAGATCAGCAGACAGTGTGATATGTATTGATACATAACTCGAGTAAAAGAAAATGAATTGAAAATAGCTTTCGGATATGATGTGTGGAAGCCCATTCGCTCTGTTAGAGGAGAGAAAAATCATGTCTATGTATTTTTCCACCTCTGTTTCTGGCAAAAGTTGGTCAAAATTTTGATTTAGTATCTTAAAATTATGACATATTATGATATAATGACCTCAAAATATTGACTTTCTTGAAATTTAATGTCATTTTTCCAACAGATTTTGAGATACTAAGCCAACATTTTGGGAAAACAACTCAATATTTTAAGATACTAAGTCATTAAGAAAATAAGTCATTATTTCAATATAGTAAGTCATTATTACGGATACTATATAACCATTTCAAGAAAATAAGTTGTTCTGAAAGTTATTAATCTGAGGTAATACGTCAACATTTTGACATACTGCTACCAGAAACTCAAAAATAGATTATTTTTCTTTCTCCTCTACATGGTTTCTGTAATGAGTTCATTTGTCAGATTTGAAGGCAGTTTTCCGGATTTAAAGATTAAATTTAATCCCGGTATTGTAAAGTGAACCTTCAACATGTGTTTGCTTCCTGCTTTACTATAGTCAGGGAAGATGGCCAACAAATAGCCAGCACTTACGGTTGCTATAAAGCCTGGAATGACGCAGCAGATTTGTGTATGTTGAACGCCTGAATGAAGAGTAAACAGAGTGGACTAAGGGAGGAGATTAAAGGCACCAGGCTGAATAGCAATTTGGTTCTGACAGCAGCAGGCAAATAAATGAGAATATCCTATATTATAACTTCAACAGCAGCTGCCTGTGAAAAAACTGATTCCAAATGGTCATCAGCTGAATAACATGAATGAAATTCATTTCATTTGTCATGTTCTATATGACCTGGGTGCTCTGCACCATTATGGCTAACTGCACAAATCCTGTTTCATGATACAAAAACAGTGACAAACACCAGAAGTCCAAGGTGTACAAGCCTCCAGACAAATGACAGTGTTGTCTTAAGAAATGTCACCAGCTCGAAAACAAAAATTGGGGTCACAGAGTCAAAAGCTCTGGGGCAGCAGAGCTGTGGTTTGCAAAATGCACATATTCCACATACAGAATTTATCAAAGTAGCTGCCAAAGAGTCATATAGCTGACATTTGATTAAAGCCATAGCACATTTTGCCTTTACCCTTCAGTCAAGACTGGAAGTGCCTGAAGTTCACTTCTTTAGTCTTACACTGAAGCTGCAAGGCTAATGTAGTTAACAAGTAATAAGAGCCTGTATGTGACCAATTAGGGCTGCCCAAACTCCATGCATGAAACACTTTTTTGCCACTTTAATAGGGACTAATTAATTCAGATTAATGAGAAATTAACAATACTAATTCATTAACAATTATGATTGTGGTGTGCATGCATTTTTTCAGGAAAACTCAATTTTTTTACAGGTCAGGTATTAAAGCTGTTTTAGAATGTCTTAAAATCAGAACTTGTTTGTCAAGCGCTGTTGACAATCTCTGTCTGCAAAGCTGCCCGCAAGGGTAGTGTTGTGGCAACGTAACCTGCGCTGTTCATGTTACTCCCAAAACAGAGGCAGTTAGAAGAGGCCTTCAGAAGATCAAAACAGAGGAGCAAAGAGAAAGAAAAGGAGCTTAAAAGTATTATGAAATACCTCAAGGTAAGTACTTCTCTAATGGTGGCCAGCAGCTGTCGTTCTGCAGGTGTGGCCATTCTGTTGGCAGAATGGAAATTGGATATTTATAATTAATATAATCAAGTACATTTTCCCCGTAACTCTGTTATCAGGTTAACTAGAACACTGTAGGCTCTATGTGGGTGAAATGTAGTGACTCTGTGTTGAGCTGCTAGTGAGCAATGAGAGGTGAAAGGGGAGGGGTGAGATCTCCCTACTGTGAAAACTATTCATACCTCTCCACAAAGAAGGCCATGCCAAGACAACACAGGCAGCACAACGGCAGTTTGGTTTATATAAAAAATAGTTGAGATCAAAATATATTCTATTAAATGATTTTGAAGAATGCACAGAACATAGGAAATGCATAGAGCTCCAAAAAGGTGGACATAGCATTTTATGTCTACTGTGAAAAGGGTTTAACAAAAACACTCTATGAAAGTATATTGTTGCTATGCAGCAGGATATTCCTGAAATCAGTGTTTCTCGGGTTTGTTTGACTATTAACTTACGGAAAACATATGAAAAGCTGATTTTTTGCTTGTTGTGCTTTGTAAACATTGTTAAAGTTTTAAAATCACCAGTCCGTATATGATCACTGATGATCCAGTCTGTGTATGGAAACTATGGTTGTGATGTTAGAAAACTGATGTGAGAAAACTGACTAGTGCTGTGAAACTTAATGCTTTAATAATATGTTAATTTATTAACACCACTAACTTTTCTAGCACTATTAACACATTTTTCTAGTTTGACCTTTAAAACCATCCATAGTGCTGTTCTTGGTATAACTTCATTACTGTAGCACTCTTGTTCAAATAAAGCTTTAAAAGGCAGCTTCCATTTATTTATTCTAATATATTCAACAATCAACTGTAACTGTACATTAAAATGTGAAGAAGTGCGTTCTTTGTATAGGATGTTTTAACTTAAACAAAAAGAAAATTTGACCAAACTTACTCTTAGGGGTATAATACGACAAATGCAATTAATTACAATTAACTACGTAAAACAAAAAGATTAAGCCTTAAAATTTACATATCACTGTATATTCAACCTGCAGTAGGTTGCAGTCCTGTTTTTGATATAACGGGGGAAATAGGAAGAGGCCGCTCCTCATAAACTGGCCCTGGCCCCTTTCACTATATAGGGCACTGTTTTGGGGTTCTGCCATTTTGTAGTAGTGCTACTAGGGAACCAGCCTTGTGACCGGAAGGTCGCTGGTTTGATTCCCTGAGCCGACAATACGTGACTGAAGTGCCCTTGAGCAAGGCACCTAACCGTCAACTGCTCCCCGGGCGCTGTGGATAGGGCTGCCCACCGCTCCGGGCAAGTGTGCTCACTGCCCCCTAGTGTGTGCATTCATTAGTGTGTATGTGGTGTTTCACTGCACAGATGGGTGAAATTTTCCCGTTGTGGGACTAATAAGGGTCACTTAATCTTAATTGTTGTATATCGTGGGCCAGATTATCGAATGTAGGGTACAGTGATTAGGGTACCATTTTGGACATGGTATGTGTCTTAATAACTTGTCCCTCATCCTGCCTGTCTCCGATTAGCGTTCCGCGCAGGCAGTGGAAGACGACAGTGAGAGGATCTGCACCAAACTGATCCGCTCCATCGAGAGGAGGCACTGCGAAGTGAAGGAGCTGGTCAGAGCTGAGGAGAGGGCAGCGCTGGCCCAGGCAGAGGGACTGCTGGAGGGCCTGGAGCTGCAGATAGAAGATCACAGGAGGAGGGAGAACGAACTGGAGCAGCTCTCACACACTGAGGATCATATCCATTTCCTACAGGTAACGGCACTGGGGTTACTTCAAAGGTTCCGAGTTCACAGCTCGACTGGGCTAGTTAGTTCCACATGCTGGAGGCCATGTCATAGCAGATGAAAACATATCCGGATATTGAAAGGACAAAGGGCAGGGGCGACAGACCTGCAACTGAGGAGGAAAAAAATAGTCTTGTATTAATTTGATTTTGCGATTCAAAGCTGCAGACATGAGGTCATTTTTGTCTGCGGAAGACCTTCTCAGCCACGGCTGAAGGCCATGCTTGCTGGTGTCTCGCCTGAATTTAACTGTCTCAACAACTGTCTCCTTTTCACCTGTAGAAATGCAAGGCGCTCTGCGCTCCTGCTGAACTCGAGGAGTTGCCTTGTGTTGATGTCCATCCATACTTCTCCTTGATGATCCTGAGAAGAGCCCTCACCGAGTTGAGAGAGCGAGTGAATGACGTGTGCGACAGGGAGCTGTCCAGGATCTCTGATTTGAGTGAGTTTAGCAATTCTGATGTGAAAACTGTGAAATATGAATCCATATTTTATTTTGGGGGTATTTCTCAAAGCAGGATTTCTCGGGGTTCTTATAGCAATGCCATGGAAGAACCTCTTCTAAATTCCTAAAGAGCCTTTCAATTAATTCATCTTAAAAAATCTTTGTTGTAAACAAGATGCACAAGTGTGACTAACCTTGTTTACAAGTTAAAAGACCTTCAATATAAGGTGCTATACCAATTAAATGCACTATGCATCAAGTCAAGAGTCATTTAGAAACCTTTACTGTAAGGGACATCTGTTGTAAACACGATTACTCGCCTCCTACAGCAGAGCCCAGTGGTCTCTAGAGTGAAATTTTCAGGTTTAAAAATTAGAAAAACCCCCTTCTGATGATGTATCTTGAAGGTGGGGTTGATATTTGGGGGAGGCTTTTTTTTGGTAGGAAGGCAGAAAACCAATGTAACTGCTAGGAAGCAAAGTATCTTATTGCAACACTGTAACTGTAACTTCAAATCATCGTTACACCCGGATTGCAATAGATTACATCTATGACAGAAATGACCCGTCAGAAGAGGAGAAGCTAAAAGCTAGAACAGCAAGCTAAATGCCAACGTTAGCAAGGTAACTGGCTATCTAAATACCTTACCTCAATCTGGCTTCTTTTTCTGCCTGAAAGGATAAAGAAATATGTCTCTGGCATCCATTTTGCGCTGAATAAAGATAGAATCATTGTTTTGTTCAACACCTGATATTTACACTAATGCTCACTATTAGCCTATAGATCATTGGCTAGGCTAGCAGTCTGGATTGGTTGACACCACAGGGATTACCTGTGGTTGTATGACATGCACTATATGGACAAAAGTATTGGGACACCTACAAATTATACCCAAAGGAGCTTTCATGACATCTCATTCTAAATAGGCAATAACATGGAGTTGGTCCCCCTTCGCAGCTATAACAGCTATAACAGAGAGTGTCTATGGGAATTTTTGCCCATTCATCCAGAAGAGCATTTGTGAGGTCAGACACTGATGTTGGACAAGAGGGCCTGGCTCGCAATCTCCGTTCTAGTTCATCCCAAAGGTATTCGATGGGGTTGAGGTCAGGGCTCTGTGAGGGCCAGTCAAGTTCTTCCACACCAAACTCCCCCAGCCATGCCTTTATGGACCTTGCTTTGTGCACTGGGGCTCAGTCATGCTGGAACAGAAAAGGGTCTTCCCCAAACTGTTGTCCAATATGTCTTATTATGCTGAAGCATTAAGATTTCCCTTCATTGGAACTAAGGGTCCTAGGCCAGCCCCTGAAAAACCCCATAACATCATCCCTCCTCCACCAAACTTTATACGTTACGCAGGTGCAGTTCTCCTGGCATTAGCCAAACTCAGACTCGTCCATCCGGCTGCCAGATAGAAAAGCATGATTCATCACTCGATAGAATACATTTCCACTGCTCCAGTGTCTATTGGCAGCATACTTTACACCACTTTTATTTTGACTTGTATTTGTATAATGCATGCTGGGTATTGTAGTAGAAAACGTGAATCGTGAATTCTGTCGAAAAACGAGGTTGTGGGATTTAATGCTGTGCAACAGAATATTACATAGCATGACAAAGAAAGTATTAAACTAATGTGGCTAGATAACCTAAATCCACTTAACTGAGAAATCCTGCTTCATAAAATACCCCCTGTTCTATTGTTATGAAACTGTCCCATTTAAGATCACGTCATCCACCTTCATCAGAAAACCCTTTTTGCACGAGTGGTTTATACTGTACATATTGTTGATCTTGTCCTTTGCTGCTTGTGTGCTTACAGTTAAAGATGAGCAGAGCGAGTCAGATGAGACTCCCCCGGGTGTTCCTGTACATACTGAAATAGGTACTGCGCGCCACACATGCCTTCTGGCAACTCGCCCATGAAATTTGATCCAGGCTATCTTTATGTAAGAGAGCGAGAACGACTAATATGAGCTAATTACTCTCTTGAATGGTTTTCAGTGTCTCCTGCAAAAAGCGCAGATCAACCACAGAGCGAGCCAAAGACGAGGGCAGACTTTCTGCAGTGTAAGCATTTTCTCAGATCACAGCTCTTCAAATGCATGATTACTGAAAGCTACATTTGAGGTAACATGGTGCTCTTAGGCAAGTAGGAGCTTCAGTGTCCTGTTCACACTTAATAAATTGTGACCTCCACAGCCTTAGCTCACGACTTCTGTTTCAGGGCTGTTTCTGAACGTAAACATAAACAACATCCCACCCACCCCAGTCATATTATATTGCATGAAAGAAGAAAAAGGAAAGAAGTTTAACAAATGCTAAGGTAAAAATAACAAAACAGTAATTGAGCCCCACCAGCAAAAAAACATATATGTTATATGTTTATAAGTCCAACCATTTTTGTATTATTAGTTATTTTGTTTTCTATTTTTTCTATTATTTTACATTAAAAGACAAACTATGCTTTATTTACATTTTAGGGACCCCTTTATTTTAAATACATAACATCAAACAATGCCACACCATGCTTGAATGATTTTTACAAAAATTGTCACATATACTGTTTTTGTTGCAGGGACTCAATTAAAGCTACACTATGTAAGTTGGAGGTTTAGAGACCTCTCTGGTGGAAATGTGTAATTGCATGCATTGTGTGAAAAAAGTGGATGAATCTGCAAGCGTATTGAAAGAGTATTCAAATGTGGATGTAAAGGCATTGAGTGTCCTCATATGGTATTTTTTGGTAACATCATGATCGACAAACAAATATAACAATAATATATAACATATAACAAATACAAACTTAGAGGGCCCCACGTATCTTGGGGACCCTGATCCGCTGCATATACCACTTATAGCAAGAAACAGCCCTGACTTGAGTCACAATACCTCTCTGTACACCAATCACAATGGTTCTGTGAAAAATGTCATTTACACAATTTTTCATTTACCCCTAGATGTTGTCCATCAATCAAGACGTTTGTTGTCCAAACACTCTGCAGTTTAGCGCTGAAGCTATGAGGCCAACATTGAAAAACAGTAGAAGACAGTAGTCATCCAAATCATTTCCATTAATACATCCCAAACACTTCTCTCAACCCACTTAAACCATATCCAGCTCTTCTTTAAGGTCGCACGACTAGTCAGTGTGGTTTAGGACACAGTGTGACTTACTGTGAACTACAAAAATGACAAAACATGACTATATAGCCGAACGCTGGGGGCAGCAACTTTAGACATGCGCTAAATTCTGACTCACTTTCACTTGCATCACCCAGGGGAGTCAGAATTTGGCACGTTTTTGTCTAAAGAGGCGGCCTGCTGCACTCAGCTACTCGGTGGAGGTGTGTTCATTTTGAACGTTATACTGTGCACAACCTTAATGAAAACCTTGATGCAGTTTGAGCAGAATGAGTGAAGTTTTGGGGATGTATTTACGAAAAGATTTGGGTGACTGTTGACTTCTAGTGTTTGTTAGTGATGGATAGTTCCAGCGCTAAAATTAAAGAAGCAGAATTTGAAGACCAAACATGTCTTGGCTGGTCATCATCTGGGGTAACTGGAAAATAATGTGAATCACATTTTTCACCAAACCATTCCTTTAATTCTTTAATAGCGCTACTGGGTTTCTTTCCTCAATCCACAGACTGCTGTGAGGTGACACTGGACCAGAACACTGCTAACTCCTACCTCTGCCTGTCTGAGGGGAACCGAAAGGTCAGCACAGGTTACGAGTCCCAGCACTACCCAGATCACCCGGACAGGTTCGGCAGCTGGGCTCAGGTGCTGGGCAAAGAGGGCCTTTCCGGACGCTGCTACTGGGAAGTAGAATGGGCTGGCAAAGGCGGAATCGCTGTTGGAGTTTCTTACAAAGGAATTATCAGGCTTGGTGGAGGCCCGGATGGTAAACTGGGCTGCAATTCCAAGTCCTGGATTTTGGACCTCTCTGACGGCCTTTGCACATTTCAGCACAATAAAAACAAGCTAGAGATACCCACTCCCATTTCACCTAAGATAGGAGTCTATCTGGACCACAAGGCAGGGACTTTGGCATTTTACTGTGTCTCTCCGAGAGGGGATACTATGACCCTGCTCCACAGGGTACAAACCACGTTCTCTCAGCCACTCTACCCTGGATTTTGGGTAGGGCTGGGCTCCACACTGAAACTGTGCCCCATTTATAACTTCTCAGCTTAGAGAGGGGATACGCATACGCACTGTAGCTATAATTGTCAGAAAATGTTTCTAAACTCTTTGGAATGACCTGGACTTCTGCAGGAGCCACGCGTTACATTTTACAGTGTCATCTATGAACAAATCATAACTGCTGGAACAAAACCTTGAGTCTTTATAACGGTAATCGTACAGGGAAAAGAAAATGTATCTTTTAAAGGAAATCATGTATAAAATAAGTAATTCTTGAGCATTTCTATTGGTCCATTCATCATGATATTTCCACACAATGGAAGAGACATCTGGTGCTCTCAGATTATTAAAAATTAAAAAAAAAAAAAAGTTGTCATAACATCAACAGAATGGTGTAAACAATCAATATCAACACTTAAATTCAGCCAGCAGAGGAAAGTTTCTTATTGGCAGAAACTTCAACCAAACCCAGGGCTGTTTCTTGCTATAAGCAGAATAAGCAGCCATGAAGCCATGAAGGGTTTCTATATAGCGATTGTCAGTCATGGTGTCAGAAAAATCTCTCAGGAAGACTTGATTGATGCCTTTACTACCAAAAGAATCGAGAAAGCAGAAGTTATGCACATGCCACTTAAAAGTATTTATTGATTTATTTATTTTTTATTACATATTTATTTAATTTAGAAAGACATCTTGGCAAAGATTCTATTACTCCTCTGCACACAGCAAATTGTTGTTTTATTGCATATTGTGTTAACATTTATTCAACTTTTCATAAATAAAATTAATTCAATTCTTTTTCGTTCTGGCGTACAAAATACAATTGAGTAGGAGACGGTTGGGGGAGCTCCCCCAAGTGAGAATTTGTTGGAGACCCCAGATGTTCAGAAACAGCCCTGACCAAATTTTTATTATAGCTGCTGATCAGTCCACCACAGCAGCTGGAAAGTATTTTGGCCAATTCTTCTATACAGTTCAGTTCAGTTCATGTCTGTTTTGAGGTTGTCTGGCTTAAATAGCCTGCTTTGAATCACAGCATTTCAGTTCACAGCATCGAGGCTGAGGTTAGTTTGACCCCTTATTGAATTAGTTGCCTGTTTTGGATCATCATCATATCGTGACAATTTCAGATCACAACCACCCTGACACTGTACTGTTTCCTGATAGAACCTGGAATCGTCCCATAATGACTGCAAGCTGCCCAGGGCCTCAGGCAGCAAAGCAGTCCACGTCATTATACCTCCACCATGCTCCACACTTGGGACATAGTTTCAGTGTTGATATGCAGAGGTTTGTTTTCTCCAAACCTAATGCTGCATTCATTTTTATAAAGTTCAACTTGCCTGTGCAGAGAATATCACTGCAGTTCAGTGTTTTTAATATGGTAGGTGTCTTCGTATGCTGATTATCATCCATCTGAGAATTTGCCCAACTGTGGACTGATGGAACTGATCCTTGAGCTGCGTCCTCTGAAATCAGACCGCATTTCCTTTTAACTGCTTGAATTCTGCTCTGATTAACAAAAACTGTTCAAATTACAAAGGTTACACCTGAACTGATTGGAACACCTGGCCCCAGTTAACCTCTTTTCATGATCCTGGAGGTTCACAGACTTTTTCCGTCTTTGACATTGATTGTGTAAACCATTTGTTTAGAAAAATGGCATTTTAAAATGTAATATTGCATTGCGTATGTTCTACTGTGCTTAGATGGTAATTGAAATTCATATCTAGGAGCCCTTAAGCAGAAAGCCAGGTAATTCCAAAGGGTTTGCAAACTTTCTCAACTGTACCTCACACATTTCTGCTGACTGAAGTGCTGTAAAAATGCAGATATTATTTAAAAAAAAAAAGTATATTAAAAATAAATAAATAAACAAACCTATGTCTTAGTTTGTAAAGCTTTAACTGTTTATTAGTAACCGTGCAATAGAAAAGCAGCAGTAACTCTGAGGTGATGGGTTGATTGTTGAGGATAGGCTCAGATCTTATTGAAGGCAGCAACGTCAACACTCTGAACCTGTAAAAGGAAACAAGAGTATAGAAAAATGAACTCACATACTCTAAACACTAAAATTGAAATGCTCAGGCAAATACTCAGTACTTACATAGTCCTCAAATTTGGTGATCTCTTCCTCAAGCATGTCGGTTCCGACTTTGTCGTCTTCAACCACGCAGTTAATTTGCAGCTTCTTGATGCCGTAACCGACAGGAACCAGCTTGGAGGCACCCCAGAGCAACCCGTCTGCCTGCACTGAGCGTACGCATTCCTCCAGCTTGGCCATGTCTGTCTCATCATCCCACTGAGAGAAGGATGGATGGGTTAGGTACAGAGCAAGAAGAAAAAGAAGCAAAACCTAATGAGCAACTGCAAATAAGCTTAAACAGGTCTTAAATCAAAGCCCAGTGAGTAACAACCGTGTATCAAAAGAATTGATCAAATCTAAAGCAGTAAAATTGAAGAATGGACTCTAGATGAGAGCTTACAGGCTTGACGTCAAGCAGAATGGAGGACTTGGCGATGAGGGCGGGTTTTGCAGACTTCCTGGCTGCGTACTCCTGCACTCTCTGTGCCTTTATGCGCTCTGCCTCTTCATCTTCCTCGTCGCTGCCAAACAGGTCGATGTCATCATCCTCTTCTTCCTCTTTTACTACCACCTTGGGATTTGGAGCTGGAGCAGCCTAAAGATGGGAAAACGAATCAGATAATGATGAATTGATTCTATTTGTAGAAAGTAATTTTTTAAACCAAGTCACTGCAGGTTTATCACCGTCAAACTGACTGCATAATGTATAGCCTGGTTCCGCACAGAGATTTGGGGCTGATGTAGTTTCACTCTGTTCGCGAGTATAGTGGAAATAAGCTAGCTTATTAAACCGAGTTCCCAGTTTTTCATGCCAGGACTCACATGTAGAGGTAGTGTTGTTCCAAGAAACCCACCAAATATTTTTGATATAAAATAAGACAAACTTTTCCTTAAGCTTTCAATATTTTTCAATATTTTAATATTGAGCTTTTGCTCAATATTACTGTTATCATTCAAGAGGTACAATATCATATCAACGACTGGAACACGCATAGGCCTGCACTATGGAGCTTCACTGAAAATAACTAGTCGTTATTGACAAAGAGGAGTATGTGAGGCATGTACAGTACTGTGCAAAAGTCAGAGACCACCCTTCGTTTATTAAATATCCAATGAAAATGGATCTAAAGTACAAGTTATGCCTTTTTCAGAGAAAACCATAAATAGAAAACATTTAACAGAAAGCCTAAAATTTCAGTATTTAGTATGTCCGCTCTTTGATTTTATTACGTTTGGTAAATATGCTTTCAGTTTTATCAAAGAAATCTGCAGGGATATTTTTCCACACCTCCGAAGTTCAGTCTTCGAAGTTGGCTGCATTTTCCGCTTTTCACGATCCATGTAATCCCAAACATATTCAGTGATGCTCTGGGGTTTAAAAGAAATTGAGCTTTTTCAATCATTTTTCTTTGACTCAGTATTTCCAGGTGCAGGTGGATTATGTTGTGTCTAATCTCCAGAAAAAGGAATAACATTGGCCATTTTGATTGGAAATGTAATAAATGAAGGGTGGTCTCTAACTTTTGCAAAGAACTTTAGCTCTCAGTAAAAAGCAAAAAAATTTCAAGCTTTGAGCGCAGCGACCGAACATTACTTCTGTCACGGTCTCGTTGCACTCGGTAACTGCCCTATTGTGCCTGCTGCATAAAAAAGGCCAAATTGATAACGCAGGGCACTTTGGAAGCAGCAGCGTATCAGAAACAGCGATTTAGTTCTTTTAGCTTTGCTCTTTTGGAAAGACAAAAAAAAGTAATAATCCTTGAGACCCACTGGTCCTCACAGTGCGACCTAAAAGTAGGACGCAACCCACAGTTTGAGAACCAATGACCTCAAGTATCTGACAGCACAATCTGACAGTTTAGCAGCAACGCATACGCAGGCACTGGCCATTTCACTAACATCTATCATAGTAAGTCTTGCAGATACAGTGTGTGGAGGATGTGCATCTGCCTTTATTTACCTGCGGGGCTGAAGCTGGTTTGGTTGGCTGGCTCTGGCTTTTCTCTAGCACTGACATTCTGGACTCTAGTTTGGAAAGCATGGCCCTCAGGTCATCCACGACTGACAGGATGGAAAGACATCAAAACAGGAGAGCTGTACATTAGCTGCAGTTGCAATATTTTGTACACACAGATTGATGGAAGGCACAAACACACACCTTTGTGCAAGTTCTTGTTGTCCAGCTCCAGATTCTTCAGGCGTGAGAGCAGCTCACTCTGATCTTCTGTTTTGCTGGCATTCTGACTCTGTGGCCAAGGACGAAAAGATGAAAGTTAGAGACTTGAATTGCCCAGAGGAACCTGCTGCGATAAACACGTGTGAGTCAGATCTCCTGACGCAGGTGCGCTCTCCGCAGAGGGCAATGCTAAGCTCTGAGTGAGCACACTGTGATACGTTCCATGCAGGTCTATAATATAAAGATATCAAGAAGGCTTGAATAGTACAGCATTTGCCCTTTGTTATTGCAGTATTAGTCTTCATAGTGCTGATACTGCAGAAGTGCACAATATGCAAATGAGCCTCTAAAAAATTATTACATATTTTACTGATTTATCAGAGGCCCTGTTCACACTTGGTATTAACATCTGTCTCAAATGATCTGATCATAAGTGGACAGTGAGATCCTGATGTCTCAAATGCATCTCAAAGCTTAGGACTTTGGCTTTCTTGACTAGAGGAAGGATACCGGCCACATTTATAATGGCACTCTCTCATGAAGTTTGTCGTCAGACAGAAATGTGGTGCTATTCCTTGTTCGTGTGAATGTAAAAGCTTTTAGAAACATTTAGATTGCAATCACTCTAAATACAACATAAAAACATCTGGAGGAGGAGATGAAGGAATAAACTTTTTAAATCAGCTGCATTTGTCTTTACTGTGATAAAGCAGGTGATTAGTCTTCTGTTTGCGACACATCAGGACACTTTAGTGTTTGCAGTATAAATTTTATGTGGTCACATGCATC